ATCGATTACACGGTAAATTTTTAACTTTAAAACACTTAAAATTTAGTTAAAAACATTTTTCACTTCTTAAAAAAGAGAATTTACATTTTTTTAAAACTAAATAAATTTAAAGTTATTAATTTTTAAAATTTTGATTTTTTATTTTTCGTTAGTATTATTACTTAAAACAGTCGTCCACTAGAAAAAATACGTAATTTTTCTCTAAGAAATAAGAAAAATAAGTTTGACTTAATTTAAACAAAACAACTAAAATTTAAAATTTTTGCAGATCTAAGTGACGCTGCTGTTCTTTTGGAATTCTGTACTTTAGTCACAGCGATTCAAAAATCCAAAAGAGTTTGTAAAACTTGGATGTCAAACACAGAAGAAATAAAAGAAGGGTTTCTTCTGCATGTTAAGGTAAATAGTACTAGCTTAAAAAATGTATATTTTCGGGTTATTCTTGACACTAATCATTGGATTTTTTATACAGAATACAGAATCCTGCTAAATCGAAATAGAAAGATTACTTAATCGAGCCGTGAAGCATAAACTGCATCTTTCACCATTGGCATTTATCGTAGGATCTGACATTCAAAATATAACTGACAGCTACATATATGTAGATGGAATTCAGTTTCGAGTAGCTTCCCCCCTACACGCTGTTGATAAAGTTTTTAAATGCATTCATGCTCTGTACGCTACGTATCCGCAACAGAGTGTTTCTATTTGGTTGTTACTCCAAAAAGTAATCTACGATTTGAACACAATTTGGGATGCCCAATGCAGCATTGTTGAGCGATTACAAGAAAATTTCGCTTAATACTCTAAATTTTAGTAAAAGTTTATTTGAACATTTGATTTAAATTTTTATTTTCACTTATACGTAAAAAATGTTGCGTTTTATTTGTTGAGTTCAACTAAAGTTTGTGTAAAGTGTTTAATAAAATATTAAAGTTAATATTTAAATATCAGAAATGCCTCGTTGTACTCTTTGTGAAGCAGCCAAACATTCCGTAGATTCTTTAAAGTTACATTTAAAAGTGTGTCATAAAGACTACGACGGTTTATTTTATTGTAAAAAGGATTCTTGTCATCGGGTTTTTAAAGGCTGGAAAGAATTTCGCAAACATCTCATAACAGCACATAAGCCTTCTAATCGTTTATCAGAGGATACTCTCGAAACGAATTTAATTAAAGTCGTCGCAGGACCTTCAAACGCAGGAGTTTCAGGTTCTTCTAATGCAACACCAGTAACGGATGAAAATGATGTCGAAATAAAATCAAATAATACACTTACAGACAAAAATGTTTTTGAAATTAAAAAGCTTGTAGAATCTTTAGCTTTAGATTATACATCTAAACTATACACGAACCCTAAGCTCAGTCGCAGTCATGTCCAACAAACAGTTGAAGATGTAAGTGGATTATTAGAAAATATTTTAACAACTATTAAGCCACATTTAAACTTGTATGAAAATTCTAAATTATACGAAATTCGATTTAATGAGATTAAAGATGCTGTGATGAAACCCTTTCGAATTACTTTATCGCCAGAACATCGCACGCTGCGAGTTATGAAGAACACGCAAAAGTATATCAAGCCTCGCGATTATGTTGTTGGTGATCGTTTTGATAATATTCTACATGAGGGAAGAATTATTCAAGACCGAACTGCTGTCACAGCAAAATTTATTCCCATTAGAGAAGTTTTAAAAGAATTTATGTCAATGTCGGGAGTCTTCGATGAAATTGTGGGTACTTAAATTATCTTGAACAAGAAAAGGCAGCCGGAATATATTCAAACTTCATTCAGTGTGAACTTTGGCAACTCTCTAAATTTGAATCAGCGAAAAGTCGCTGATTCACCAGCCCAGAGTATGCAGCTGATGAAACAGCGTATATACGCTGGAAAATCAGTGCATATACGCTGTTTCATCAGTGTATATACGCTATTTCATCAGCTGCATACTCTGGGCTGGTGAATCAGCGACTTTTCGCTGATTCAAATTTAGAGAGAAGGCAAATTAAAAAAATTTGGTGATAAATTTGTTTTACCAATAACGATTTACTACGATGACTTTGAGATAAACAATCCCCTTGGTTCTCATGCTGGAGTTAACAAAATAGGTGGAGTCTATTTTTCGATGACATTTCTACCTCCAGTATTTCGAGCAAGAGTTGAGAATATTTTTACCACCGCGCTTTTCAACTCTAATGATAGAAAATCGAATTCAGAAGCAAACGATGCAATTTTCAGCATAGTTGTGGATGAAATAAATTTCATGACACGAAATAGAGTTCCAGTAATTGTAAACGGAAAAGAAATAATAATATATTTTGCATTAGGCCTATTATTTGGAGACAATGAGGCTCTTAATAGTGCTGGTGGTTTTATGGAAGGTCCTAATGCAACTTATTACTGTAGACTTTGTAAAATGAGTAAGGGCGAAAGTAAAAAAAATCTCCCTATTAAAAAAGAGCATTTAAGAACTTCTGATCAATATGAAGCTGAGGGCTTTGAAAATAAAAAGGAAACGGGAGTAAAGAAAAACACGATTTGGAATTTGGTATCTCATTTTCACATTGTTTACAATTTTTTTGCTGATATTGCCCATAACCTACTTGAAGGGGTTTGCAAGTATGACATGCAACACATTTTGTACGTGTTAATTATCGTAGAAACATCTTTAGAACTGGAAGAATTAAACGAAAAATTAAAATCATTTAATTATGATAAAAATGATTTCACTAACAGGCCTCCACTTTTGAAACACAACGAAGTAAAGAAAAAAAATTTTCGTATTTTGCAAGTGAAATGAGAACATTTATTTTAATCTTTCCAATTATTGTTAATGACATAATTAAAGGTGGCATTGATAAGGATAAAGAGATTTGGCAATTTTTTTCGTTACTCAGGCAAATAATGAACATTTGTTTTGCCAAATCTTTTAAAGAAGAAATACTGCCTGCTCTAGATTCACTTGTGTATCAACATCATGCTCTATACATCAAAATTTTCAACGATTCTTTGAAACCTAAATTTCATAACATGAAACCACCACCACGAGTTAAAGTCGATCATATCAAGGACAACTTCAAGAAAAAATGTCACACTATTGCGATTAAAGAACAATTAAGATTATGCCATCGTCTTCTTGCAAATGAAGGGCTTGTTCCTAAATTTGAGTTTGGAGATGACTCCATCGTAGATTCTATTCTGATAGTAGATCTTTTTGCAGAAATTTCTGATTCTATCCCAAACAACTTTTTAGGGCCATCAAACCAAATTGTATATGCAAGAATTAGAGCAAGAAACAGAAATCTTAGAAAATTTTATTCAAGGAAAATTATGGCGTTCAAAAGTAAAGGCTCATTTTCAAGGGAAATTTGTTATTCCTTTGTTCGTGTACTTTGATGATTTTGAAGTGAATAACCCCCTTGTATCTCATGCCGGAATCCAAAAGTTAGAAGCGGTTTATTATTCGATTCCATGCTTTCCTCCTAATGTTTCTTCTCTTGTTGAAAATGTTTTTACTGCTCTTCTATTCCATGCATCAGATCGAATTGAATTCGGGAATTTTAATGTTTTTAAAATATTAATTGACGAGCTCAATTTTTTACAACGGGAAGGGCTGCTTATCGAAACAGAAAACGGTACAGAGAGAATATATTTTGCTTTAGGTCTTATTTGTGGAGACAATCTCGGATTAAACTATATTCTGGGCTTTAATGCAGGCTTTAATTCTAACTTTTATTGCCGTCTCTGCAAGGCAAGCAAGCTTCAAGCACGTATAGACTTCGATGAGAAAAATTTTCGAGAGTTTACTTATGGCAGTGATGTTAGTAATTTAAATTCCAAGGAATCGGGTATAAAAGAAGAGTTGGTATGGAATAATGTAGACTATTTTAAAACTTCCAAAAAATTTTTTACTGATTGGTTGCACGAAGGACCCAAGGGAACGGCAGGTTTCGATATGGTCTTAATTTTAAACCATTATGTAACGAACAAAAATGTTGAAAATAAACTTTCCTTAAACGTTTTGAACGACCGATTGCGTAGCTTTAACTATAAAGATAACGAAATAAAAAATGTTCCTCCTCTAATTTTACAATCTGAGATTCAGGAAAAGAAATTGAAAATGACGGCAAGCGAAATGCAGAATTTCATACCAATCTTTGGGATGCTTGTTGGCGATCTCGTTTTTCATGATGAGGTATGGCAATTTTATCTCATTTTAAGACAAATTGTCGATCTTGTACTCTCACGACGTCTTCAAAAGAGTTGTGGTATCATATTGTCACATCTGATAAAAGAACATCATTCTTTATTTAACAAGCTTTTCTTAAATGACAATTTGAAGCCTAAAGCACATCTGTGGGTCCACTATAGGACATGTTTAGAAGAATCGGGACCAATTATTAATATGAGTACAGCGAGATTTGAATCCAGCCATCGTGAAAAGAAAATAGAGGCTAATGCAACGTGTAGCCGTAAAAATATCACTCACAAGCTCTGTTTGAAGGAAGGCAGTGATTTTGATTTTTTTAATGAAATTCCGCAATTTTTGGAACATCTACAAAAGAAAAATTTTAAATTACTGCTTTCCCGGACTTGAAATGATTTGGAGTTCTTTTTAAATGGCCTGTAATATTTAAATAAATAATTATCAAAAGGAAAAAAATGCTACCGAGTCAAGGAATCATTAATAAGTTAAAATTTCAAAATTTTGGAAATTTCGTGACACAAAAAAATTCAAAATCACTGCTTTCCCTGACTTGGAATCATTAAATTTTTTTAAAATAGCGTCTAATATTAAAATAACCAATTATCAAAAGAAAAAAATTACTATCGAGGCGAGGAATTATTAATTTACTTGAAATTCTCGAGTTTTCGGAAAATCTGTGACAAAAAAATCAAAATCACTGTTTCTCCCAACTTGGAATGTTTAGAATTTTTTTAAAGGTCTCGTGACATTTCTGTTTTCCTTTCTTTTTTACTTTAGGGTTTGGAGGGTTTATTTGGGTTAAAAATATACTAGAAAAATTTGTATCCTCAACTTTTTACAAATTTTTTTCGTTGAATCAACGTTGGTAACTTCAGTTTAATATGACGTTTGGGCTTCATAAAGCCGGATCTAATTTTTAAAGATACATTTTTAAGGCGGTGGGTGATCTTCCGTACGTTTTTGCATATATCGACGATAATATATCAATCGCGTCAAGGACAAATGAGGAACACGAAAAGCATCTACAAGTGGTATTTCAGCGTTTAAAGGAATGCGGACTACGGATAAATATTTCAAAATGGCAATTTGGGCGTGACGAACTGAAATTTCTTGGTTTTATTGTAAACGAACATAGTTGCAAACCAACTCACGCTAAAATCGAAACAATTACAAACTGGCCGAAACCAAATACGAAAAATGACCTGAGACGTTGGTTAGGTCTGGTAAATTTTTACCGTAGAAGCATTCCAACCGCGGCTTAATCACAAGCTCCTCTGCATGTCCATTTACAAGACGCACGAAAGAATGACAAAAGGAAAGTAGAATGGAACGCTGATCGCCAGTTGAAAGCAGTCATGGAATCAATCAAATATTTCAAATACACGTTAGAGTTTGGTGGTTTCACGATTGTAACCGATCATAAACCGATTACATATGCATTAACGCAGGTATCCGACTGAATATCAAAAAGTCAACAAAGTCAAATAGAATTTATCTCACAGTTTACAAATAAAATCGTCCACATCTCCGGGAAAGACAATGTCATCACTGACGCCCTATCTCGAATCGAAACAATCAGCGTACCCACATCCATAGCGTTTTAACAATTGGCCAACGGACAACAGGAAGACGAGGAGTGAAAAAAATTCGCGAATCGAAGTCATCCCTCAAATTAAACAAGATATCATTAGGCAACGAAAGAACCGAGATATGGTGCGATATTTCCGGTGAGAAAATGCGACCTTTCGCACCAAGAAGTATGGAGCCCCTAAACTACCAGAAACAACTGAGACTTTGCTGTTTCTATTTTTGTGCACTTTTTGCACTCACCGACTGGCCTATACTGATTTAAAAAACTCAAGCTAATAAAATACTTACTTTGCTTTATTTTCTTAAAAATAAATTGACTAATATTTGCAAAAAAAAGAAAAAATAAGTTTTTTCAAAAACGACTGGAGCGATTTTTTTCTTTTTGGGTTCAAAATTATCAGGAGGAACTAGGACTAGGAACAATATACGCAGGCGCGGAAATATTTATATGATCGTTTGCTATAAAACGCCCTATCCCACACATTTTCCTTGCACCAGAAGTGGGACTTTTTATGCATGTATTATATAAAGGTTTAACGTTACACAATTATTGTAAAATATTCAACAAACTATTTTTATTTGTAAATATCTCCCTTTACGCTATTTTACACATCTACGGATCCACCATTTTGAAACTTCTCTTTAAATGTTTCTGAAAATTGTTCCTTATATAATTGCATATATTTAAAATAAGAAAAAAAATAATTTGAGTAAAATAAAGAAATTGGCTTTTGGCCATTTTTAGTAGATTCTGTCCCACTGTGGGACGATGAAGAGTGTGGGAGTCCACCTTTAGGTCGCCGAAAAGTATAATAGAAAGGCGCCATAAGGATTCTCCCGCGCGCTCCCAGCCGGAGGAAGCGTGGTTGGAATGAGCGGGAGAGGGGTTAGATCTCCGGTTTAGTTGTGTATACACGTGCTAAGTTGACGACTCTATAATTTAATGTAATAAGTGTTAACTAATTGAAATTATAGATTTATCGTTATTCCCAACATTCTGTCTTTACTAATTTTACACCTTACGATCAAGTACAATTTATTTTCTAGTTCTCGAGGGTTGCAGTGATTTTTCAACACCTCATCCCCACCATTGACAGAACAGCGTAGTTCAACACGAGACGAGGCAGTTTTGGCCATATTTGCCACATCACCCCCACGCCATTGACGACCATCATATACAAGTAGGCTCGGTAAGATCTTCGAATCATACACCCACAATTTCAGAATCAATTGACACCGGGACAGCTCAACGATTTCAAGGTACAAACAACAAGAAAGATCTCAACTTTTATGTAAGTCAGTAAACAAGAAGAATAAATTTTTTTTAATAAGACCGTTCACCTTTGTGAAACGATATATTAAAACTAATAACATTTCAATAAAATTTCAGTCAAATTGAAATAATAAATGAATAACTTTGAACTAGTCTCAAAATATTAAAATTTGGAAATATGTGTATGATGCCTTATTTCTCAAACGTCCTAGCAAAAAATTCAAAGTCTTAGAAATGGCTTTATACTTTGAATAAAATTGTTGTCCTATATGAAAGTAATAAAGTAAAATATTATCTCTTTTTTTTAAAAATTTTAGAAAGTAGTGGGGTTTAAAATTTTGCCATTCTAAGATACACTACCATATTCAAAACCCTATAACTTTTATAGAACTTTATCGATTTTTGTTGGAAATCTGTCGTTTTTCGAAAAAACATGTAAGTTTCATAGTGGGATATCCAGAAATTTAGATGAAAATTAAAAACAAACTAAGCGGTGCGCCAGCGTTACTGTACGTAACGCCGGCGCTTCGTCATTAAACGAAACAATTATCACTGTTTTATCTTTGTCTGCTTTAGCAAAAGCTCTCTGCATTTTATAGAGTTTAGACTGTCATAAAAATAATGCATGTATTACTGTTACTGAAAAAAATTTTAAACGATTAATTTTGAAAATGAATAGTTAAAGCTTAAAAATAAAATATTTTTTTAAGACAATCGAAATGAAAATTTATCTGTGTAATTTTAAAAAGCCTGCGTTACTATTACTAACCTAAGTTTAGATTTAGAAGAGTTGTTTTAAATTTAATTTCCAAGATTTTAAATCATTTTTTACCCCTTTTTTCTGTTGAGAAACTTATAGAGTATTTTTTTTACTATTAGGAAAATTATAACATTCTCAAGCAGAATAATGTTTTTTTAATTAAAGCGTGTTATTTCTGGTAAAAAATCATATTATTAAAGTGTCCTTTATATAGTTTGAGCATTATCAAGTCTGAACTTAAAAAGTCGGAAAAATTCCTGAAGTGGCCCCCTTATTTTCGCAAAGTTGCAAAATTTGAAATAAGTATTTGTATTTAAAAGTACTAGTATCTAGTAATATCTTCACGGAGTATTTCAAAAACATTAAAATTATTTATATTTTTTATTGTTAATTAAAGATTTTTGAACCCTATTAATAAAATAATTTTAACTAATTAAGTTTATGCATAAATTGAACAAAAATGTATGGTTATATCAGTGAGTAGGGAGAGTAAATAAACTAATAAAATTAAAAAGAAAATGTAAAAAAACACTTTTTAGTTAAAAAGAATGAAAGTTATCTGTTTATTAATTAATATTGTTTATAACAATTTAAATAAGTTACTTTTAAACAAAAAGGACGTATATTCTTTTTCAAAATTACACTGAGAAAAAAGAGGGCGCGTTACAGCACATTTTCGATTCATGTTGCGCGACTCAACCCTGAATTCTTCTACACACTTTCTGGGGCGTGCAGCACGCCCCAAAGAGCGTGTAATACGCTTCAAATACAGCTCGCCTCGACTCAGGGGTCCGCTGCACGCCCCAGAAAAGTGTCTAGCAGAACACAGGGTTGAGTCGCGCAACATGAATCGAAAATGTGCTGGAACCCCCCCCCCCTTTTTTTTTCTCAGTGTAATCATTAAATTTTTTTTAAATAACAGAAATGCAGGCATTATGTTTATGACAGTCTTAACTCTATAAAATGCAGAGAGCTTTTACTGAAGCAGACGCAGATAAAACAGTGATATTTGTGTCGTCCAACGACACAGCGCCGTCGTAACGTACAGTAACGCGGGGTATCGCTTTGTTTTAAATTTTCTTCTAAACTTCTGGCCATCCTACTATGAAACTCACATGTTTTTTTCAAAAAAATGTCAGCTTTTCAAAAAAAAATTTTTTAAATACTTATTAGGATCAAAATTAAAAAATATACCTTATTTTTTTAAAGAAGGGGGGTTAAATTTAAAAAAAAAATTTGTACAATTTTTACAAAGTACATGAAAAATGCTTTAAATTCATTATAGGCACATTAAAATCGATGAAGTTTTATAAAAGTTATAAGGTTTTGAAAATGGTAGTGGTGCTGAAAATGTCAAAACTTTAACCCTTACTACTTTCTACAATTTTTTTTAAAGAGATAATATTTTACTAATTTATTACTTTTATATAGGACAATCATTTCCCAAAGTATTAAGCCAATATCAAGACTTTCAATTTTTGACTGGGACGTTTGAGAAATAACGCCCCATATTTTTGTTCTAAGATGTGAGTGTTAGTTTTATGAGAATTTTGTTTTGTTAATTACTATATTTCAGAGTTAATTAGTTAATTCATAGTTAACTAGTTAGTTAATTTCATAGTTAATTACTATATTTTAGTTGAATAACGAATCATTTAAAATAAAAAAATTTGTTAATTATTTTACTTACTAAACATTCATTGTTTTTTGTTAGCGTAAATAATAATTTTACCAATCCTGAGACATAGATGTCGAAATATATACGAGTGATGAACTAATATATAAGGAAAATCATTTCGAGATTTTATCAAATAAATATCAATAACAATTGTTTAAAAAAATATATTAAAATTTTAAATAGTGAAGCATCATTTACCGACATCCTGTACTCGAGATAAACACTGTCAACATCAAATACCAACGAAATTAAAATTTGTGTATTCCATTTGAATTTATAAATTTTTTTTCTAAATATTAATAATAACAGCATGATCAAAATGATTGCGTGTGTCTATACAACATGTCAGCGAAAATATCGAAATAAATTCATTGCGCGCATGCGGTGTTCGGCAATATTTTTCTTTATCTTAAAAGAAATTATATTTATATAGACACTGGGCATTGCAAGGATCCCTTTTTGGAAAGGAATAAAGTAAAATTTGTATTTCTCTTTTTTAAAATTGTTTCGCGCATTTTATTAAATTAATTTTATTTTCGGTATATATGTAGTGGCGTTTCATCGGTTTTGAATTCCGTGTAATAAGCAATGGTTAACACAAGAAAACAATTAAAAAAAGATCTTCAAGGATCTAAAACCAATCCGAATCAATCGATTAGCTCCTCAAATACAAGAAACCGGAGCATTAATCCCACTCAATCGATTAGTTCATCGAATACTGGAAATACGAATCTCGATCTCACTGATGAAGATTTCGAATCAGAATTTGAAGGTTCTCGTGTAAATCGATATTAACCCCGCGTACGCCTACACACGACTTCCTCCTTTCAATAAAAACGACTCCGACCTTTGGTTTAACCAAGTCGAGAGACTTTTTACGCGCAATAATTTTACAATAGAAGCGGACAAAGCCGATGAACTCATCGGAACTATCAACTTGGATGTTCTAACATGCGTGCGATGCGTGATTCACTCAAATCCGATAAGGCATTTTACATAATTTTGGAACTAGCTGAGATCGCTGATAGAATCACCGAGGAGATGCAACCCTCCAACAACACCCAAACTGCAACGAGTGTAGCGGCGATTGAAGCACATAGTAATACTGCTCTTGAATTAAAAACCGAGGCAATCGCAACGAAACTTGCGAAATAAGAGAAAATCTTAATCAAGACAGCAGGGACCGTAGCCGACAACATGACAACCACAGAGGGAAATTTCGCGGACGCTCGCGATCGTATTCGCGCCAAAATAATTCCCGCGATCATTCAAAATCGAAAAAGCGCAACGATATATGCTGGAATCATAGGAAATTTAACGATAAAGCAACAAAGTGCACAACACCCTGTAATTGGGACAAATCACAAAAAACGCAATACTAAATAAGCGTCATCGCGCCGACGCTACTAATGTAAAAAAAGCTCCAAGCGTCTTCATACTCAAGATTAAAATTCTAAATTATCATTTTTAATAGATACAGGATCGGATATCTCTATCATAGGCCAGTTGGTAAATACAAAAAGTGCACAAAATTACAAACAGCAAAGTCTCAGTGGTTTCTGGTAGTTTGGGGGCTCCATATAAGAGCCTCATAGTTTTTTCTCGATTTCCGGTTGCGAAAAATGGTATAATCAATCGTCAAAGTTTAGAAAACGTGGTTTTCCGATAACTGTTGCTTCTGGTTACATGTTAGGGGAAAAAGTTGTTATTGAAAGTTGTAAAGCTTGAAAGTACCTTTCAAATTACAAGTCATACGTTAAAAAAGGTTCATTAATTTAGTTGCAAGTGAATTTAAACCATTAATAATAGCACTTTTTTAATTGTTTAATAATTTTGTTAATAATTATCGAATTTGTTTATAACTTCCCAGAAATATTCCCCTTGCGAGGCTAAATAAACCCCAAAAAAATCAACTTGATCGGTTAAATAGTTTATGCATCATTCTATTTGTTAACTAAAAACGTAATATTTAAACGGAATTTCCCTTCTTTTGGACCTGCGAATTTTGTTTTTTTTTCATTTAAAGTACACTTAAGGAGTCAAACTTTCATTGCACTTCATTGAAATTTTCACTTTTTTATTTAAGTGCATAATAATGGACTTTAAAAAAGGGTATATTTTTTGACATAAACAAATGCAATATTTCAGTCAATTTTCACGTTGTCAATTTGGTGTAAACGGCATTTAATTTAATTTGTTTTCACAAAATTTTTTCAAAAAATACTGATCTAGCTACAAGGGGGGGGCAATTTATTAGTTTTTATTTTTAAAAATATTTCGGACTAATTAAGAATTAATATTTTAAATTGAAAATTGTACCACTTATAGTTCAATAAATATATGTATTCTATGAAAAAAAATTGAACATAAGATTTTGTGCTTTTATTTTGCAATTATATCAAGTGAAAGTACATGAATAATTTTTTCAACTCTTGGACGGCGGAGTAAAGGAACTCAGTTTACGTGATTTTCGCCCGCCACAAACTTAATTCAGCCGTTCAAAGCCGCAAAAATGGTCATAACTTTGTTAATTAATGACCGATTTTAATCTTTTTTTCTTAATTTCCTGTACTTTTTAACGATTTAAAAATATTTTTGAATCCAAATATTTTTTCAATATGCAATTTTTTTGTAGTAATAAAAAAAATTTTTTCTGTATCCCTTTGCCGAAAGTACTGTCTTCCCGGTCTGATTTGGCTCCGGGAATAGCGACTTTTGTGGCCGGCTCGACAGACCCAACGAGCGCTCTGATTGGTTACAAGAATTTCAACACACGTACATGTTAGCATAGCAACCACACAAACACGTTACTTACAGAGCTCACGTTTTGAAAACAACTGACAGTCATCAAAATAATGCATGAAATTTCTTATTTTCTTTTATTTATTATTATTATATTTTGTATATTATTGAATATTTATTTGTAAAAGAAAATTTCTTGTTTACTATTTTTTAAATTTTACTTCCAATTATTTTTTACTTATAATTTTTTTTCATGCCCGCCCCGACCAGCTAAGTCTCGGCTTCGCCTCGACTTTGCAAAAGTCGGGCGGGCAACTTATTCAGCTATTTTATTATTCAAACAATAATTATTTAACGTACTTTCGGCTGGGGATACAGAAAAATTGTATACGACACACGGCCAGCAATTTGGATAACCTAGCGAGCGTGATATATAAAGCCTCGGCTTCGCCTCGGCCTTATATATCACGCCGGCCAGGAAATCCAACTTTCTGGCCTAGTATCGTAATATACTATTAACAACAAAATTTTACTATTGTTTATTAAGTTTTACAAAAAAAATTCCATACATATTACTTCATTGACTTTAAAATAATATTATTCCAAAAAAAGGAAATTATATAATGCTTATGTATAAATTATTTCATTCTTTTCTTTGCTATAATATAATTTTAAAATTTATGAAACATTATTTTTTGTAAAAATTAATAATCAAAAGTAAAATTTTTTTGTTACAAAAATTTTTTTAATACTAACATAAAAATTGCATTTTAAAAAAATATAAACTTATTTTCGGATTTAGCACAAAAAAGTACAGCAAATTAAGAAAAAAAGATTAAAATCAGTCAATAATTAACGAAGTTATGACCATTTTTACGGCTTTAAACAGTTGAATTCTGTTTGTGACGGGCGAAAATTACCCGTACCGAGTTCTCCCTCTCCGCCGTCCAAGAGTTAAAAAAAATTATTTATGTACTTTCACTTGATATAATCGCCACCGTTTCTCGCTACCGTTTCTCTCATGGACTGTTTTAAAACGTAAGTTTCAACTTATTTTCTTTGTTTAGACATTATTGACAAAAATTTGCTTTTTTCAAATTAAACAAACTCAATAATTTTATATCAGAAATTTTATAAAAATATAAGAGAAAAATTGGTAATTGAGGTTGTATTTATTAAATAATAAATCTTTTTTTTATATACAGTACGAAAACCTACCCCGTCAGTCATATCCCATGAGTGGGAGTGAGACAGACTTATGCGATTCCCATACTTTCCTATGACTGACGGATAGCTTTTCTTACTGTAGAATTTTTACGTCCGAGAATAATTAAATTATTAATAAATCATTGTCTTTTTTTCATTATAAATATAGAACAATTTATAAAATGATTAGAAAGTGTAGATTTTACGAGCGAACGAGAACAGGAAAAAAATAAGCCATTTTCAAATTTCATATTGCTTGTACTGCGCGTGTGCACAACAATCAGTTTCTTATTTCTTTCCGATTTTACCATTTTTTTAGTTCAATTAAAAATTTTATTTGCAAATTTGTTTTTTAATTTCTGATTGAATTTCCGAAATATTTAAAATGTTTTATTTATTATTAATTCGAATAAATATTTACAAATTGTTTTTTATTAATATATTTAAAATTAAATCGGATTTTTTAATTAATTTACTTTTAATAACTATATGTATTTTAATTAGTATATTTTTGTTAATATATTTGAATTAATATATTTTTGGCAAAATATTTGAACTAATATATTTGAATTAATATATTTCTGTTCAAAAATTTATTTGTAAAAAAATTATTTTTTTTTCTTTTCGCAAGTGAGAAGAATCTATATAAATAAAAGTTATTTCACTGTTGTTACATTGCTGCAAAAAAAAGATGTTCGGAAATTAAACTCTATTAATTAATTAATTCACAGTGAAATATTATGTTTGTCAATTCGTTTTCAGAGTAAAACAAACATATTTTTTTTCAGATTCTGGGGTCAAATTAATTTGTTTGTAATTCCTTATGGTCATCGTCAACCGTATACGATCGCCACCGTTTCTCGCTACCCTTTGTCGCCACCGTTTCTCGCCACCATTTCTCGCCATCGTTTCTCGCTACCGTTTCTTCGCCATCGTTTCTCGCTACCGTTTCCCGCCACCGTTTTTCTCTCAAGGATTGTTTTAAAACGTAAGTTTCAACTTATTTTATTTGTTTAGACATTATTGACAAAAATTTGCTTTTTTCAAATTAAACAAACTCAAAAATTTTATACACTGTAAAAAATGCCAGAGTAATTTTACACCGTCCGACGGTTGAAAAAAGTGACCATACCGTCCCACGTATTAATATAACCTAAATTATGTGTTATTTTACAACCTCAAAGTAAAAAAACCCGAGTGTTGTAAAATTACCAATGCGGAGTGTGAATTAGCCTGAATTTAACAAATTTCTATTTCTATATGTTATATCAATGCTGTATATTGTTTTGATAGTTTTTATCAATTATACTATTTTTTTTTCTTTTTAATGAATAAAATGAAATTCATTTTTTACACAAAAAATTAACTTTTATTTAATTTTATATTATGTTAATAAAATAATACACACTTTTTTTTACATATAAAATTAACTTTATAATTTTACATTATTCAAATAAAATTCTAATTTGAAAATAGAAATAAATAAACACAATTAGTTCATTTGAACATACTAAACTTTGGAGAATCGACACTTTTTTTTACATAAAATTGACTTTAAAATTTTATATTATTTCAATAAAAATATAAATTTAAAAGTAGAAATAAATAAATAAAAACAAAAAGCGTAGGAAACTTTGGAGACAATCCTTCTTATTTGTGTTCCAATCTAAAAATAAGAATTCTTTGCGCTATAAAACCAACAACATGGAGTAAAAAAAACCCACCACTGTTAAATTTATCGAGGTTATGTTAATTTACAATACGTTATTAATAAACCCTTCCAACAGATGGTCACTTTTGTCCACCTTCGGACAGTGTAATTTTACACATTTTTTCAAATGTCGTGAAATTTATGCAAATTACACTGTGCCACCGTGTAAAATAATCCAATGAAGGTTATATTACCTTTTCAGGTAACATTTATATTCTGGCATTTTTTACAGTGTAGCAGAAATTTTATAAAAAAAATTAGAGAAAAATTGGTAATTAACAGGGTGTCAACAACACCAGGAAAATCTGGAAAACCGGGAAATGTCAGGGAAATTAAAAATGTCCTGGAAAACCTGGAAATGTCAGGGAATTTTTTCGAAAGTCAGGGAATTTTTTTCACTATGACTTGAAATACTCTTGAACAATTTTTTTAAAGCCCACTATTAGTTTTACAAATTTTTAATAAAAAATTAATAGTAAAGTTTTCAAAAATAAAGTTTTCCAGAAGAATCCAATTAATTAAAATAAAATTTTCACAATATTTATTATATTTCGAAAAAGTTAATAATTTAAAACAATTTTTAATAAAATTCGTATGAAGAATTCAATTATTTTCTAAAATAACAGAATTTTTCACACAAATTTAATTCTTTTTAAACATTTTAATAAAATTTTCGCAATAATTCAATTATTTTAAATAAATAATGTAAACTCAGGAATTCAAATATTTTTGAAAATTTTAATAATTTAATTATTTTTAATACAATTTTACAGAAATTGGTAAAAAAATATAATTATTGTTAAAAACTTAATTTTAATTCCTCGCGAAAATCAATTACTTAAAAAAAATTTTTTTTAAAATTATTTGGAAGAATTCAATTATTTACAAAAATATTAGAATTTTTCACAGGAATTCAATTATTTTCAAATATTTTAATAAAATTGTTCGAAAGAAATCAATTATTTTAAATACAATTTTAATTACATATTTCTGAAATAATTTATTTATTCTTTTACATTTTAATAAAATTCTTTGCAAAATTCAATTATTTTCATAAATAACAATAATATTCATTACAATAATTCAATTATTTTTAAAAGTAATGCATTTTTTCTTGGAAATTCAATTATTTAAAAAAATTCTTATTAAATCGTTCGAAAGAATTCAATTATTTTCATAAATAATAAGAATTACAATAGAATTCTTTGTAAAATTGAATTATTTTTAAAAACTTTTCGCAATTCAATGATTTTCAATATCTACTATTTTTACAAAATTTCCAAACAGAATTCAATTATTTAAAAAATTTCTGTAAAAATCTTCGTAAGAATTCCATTTTTTCGGGAATAATATAAATTTCTCAGGACTTTAATTATTTTTAAATTTTTTTTATAAAATTGTTAACAGCTATTCAATTATTTTCAGAAATAATAAAAATCATCAATGAATTTCAATTATTTCTAATACAATTTTAATCGAATTCTTCGAAAAATGTAATTATTCTTAAAAAATTTATTAAAATTCGTCATCAATTAAAAAATTTGTTGGTAAAATTCTTTATGAGAATTAAATGTTAAGAAACATTCAATAATTCAATAAATTATTTTTGTATTTAAATAATTGAATTCTAATAAAAATTTATTTAAAAATTAATTTCAGTTAAAATTTTGGATAATAATTGAATATTAAAAGCCGTATAGCGTGAATTTTTATAAATAATTGAATTTTGAAATTAATTACAGGGTGGCCGCAAGTCAGGGAAAAACTGGAAATCAGGGAAAAGTCAGGGAATTTTTAAAAATTCTTTAAAAGTCAGGGAATTTTGATCGAAAGAAACCACAAATTAAAAAACTTTGATACTTTAATGTCAATTAATTTTTTTATTTAGCCGTTTTTGTAATATAGCTCATTATAATGGTGCTGTCACATTTTTTATAAGTTTGGACCTTCTTACGGATATTTTAATGTAGAATATTAAATAATTCAAAAATTTTTTAGTCAGGGAAAATCAAAAATTAGTCAGGGAAAAATCAGGGAAAAGTCAGGGAATTTTGAAAATAAAATTTTGCAGCCACCCTGTAATTTTTTTGAAATATGTTAATTGAATTTTTTTTAAATTAAAGTTTTTATTTTCGAATATATATTTAATTGAAGAATTTACGAATAATTGAAATTTCGTAAAATTGATTTAAAGAAGAATTTTAGTTAAAAATTGTTGAAAATAGTAATTTAAAAAAATTAATTAATTAAAATTTCTTAATTTCAAAATAAGATTAAAATTTTTAAATTTTCTTTTAGGTCTGAAATATTTGCCAGGAGACAAAAAAAATGAAGCGAAAGAGGCAGTCAATAACATTAAAAGATTTTCTACCTTCTTCATCTACTTCTTTAAATAATACTTCAAATTCTTCAAAATGTCCTGCTACTGCCGCATGTGGGAATACCACGAATAAAAATAAGGAAAATGCGAAACGACGTCGTGCCGATAAAGATAAGAATGATACCAATTTAAAGAAGACTAAGAAAGATGATTCTTTGGAAAAGAATAAAAAGAAAATTACTAAAAAGAGAACGGCAAACAAAGAGGAAGATGAAGAACCTCCTATGGATGAAAGAAAAAGGAAGCGACTCAAACGATTGGGAACTCGAAAGTCGACTGTCAAAATATTCTTGGGCACCATATGTAAATCAAATGACGTAAAGGAGAGAATAATTGAAGATGCGAAAATAGTATCCAGAATGAGAATAGAAGTTTCTTTGATGGCGTTGCAGTCTCTTTGTCATGACACAAATCATTATTTGCTTGAAAAGTGGACGAACGATGGTCCCAATTATTTAGAACTCTTTATTGCGTTGAAAAGAAAAATAAATACTCAAATTGTTCGAGATCCTCAGTTTGTAGCGCTAATCGAAGAATATAAAGTGACACGAGGCAATATGCCACTTTACGATTGTGAATATCGTTCATCCATTATTCAAGAAGAAGCTCGTAAAATGAATCGGGAATTTAAAACAAGTTTCTTGAAACATTTCGAAACTAGATTGTCGAAATTGGTTCAACATCTTTTATCATCTAAAGATAATGCTTCAAACACTGATGCTGCCGATGACGAGGAAGAAGAGAAAATTGTGAAGGATGCTCTTGATGATGATGCGGAAGCTGAGAGAATTTTAAAAATGGAAAGACGAGAGAGACACAATAAAAAGAAGCGAAGGAATCGCAAAAAATTCAAAGCAAGACGTCGCAAGCTAAAAAAGATTGAAGCAACAGCAGCAGCATCGAGAGAGGAAAATCATCGTAGGACTTCCAAAGAAATTCCAAATTTGAAAATTCAAGAAAGAAGAGAAAATCGTGCCAAAGACAATTCACATCGTGAGAAAGTTTTTTCAAAGAGAAAAACTCGAAAAAGAAAAAAACATTCAAAAACTCATGGGAAAAGAAAGGATATAGCCTTAAAGAATAGGTGGTCGAGCTCTGCAAGTAGAATTCGCAACACTCTTAGCACGAGAAAAGAAGCTATTCAAGTTGTTGAAAAGCTTCTCAACAAGAATGTTTGCGACATTGCCGAATTTAATAATAATTTTCTGAATCCCCAAGAATGGTTGAATTTTCAAAACATGAAACAAGACGTGAACGATGATGGTGAGGACGATGATCGCAATTCTGAATGGACAAAATTCATTCTATTCATGATACGTGTTCAACAATACTTTCACGATAACAATATTCACAATTTTGTTCTTGTACCGCAAGCTCAACTCGGCATTGCACATGTATTGTACTCCAATACAGGTCTGGAAGATTTAAAGAAGGGTGCCGAGCAGGATGTATTTTTGAGAAAAGAATTGCAGATAAGGCAGCAGTCAATTCCCTTTAAACAGAAGGAACGCCAAATCAAAGAGGCCAAAACTTGCAAGAATGTAGAAATCAATCGATTTTTACAAATCAAGAATAAAATTCAAAGATGGAAGTACATTTTTGACATTTCCAGCGCGGAAAGGGGCAAAGTTGGTGCATTTGCTGAAGTGATGACAACAAATGGCGTCGATGCTTCAATAATATTTAATGTTCCAAAAATGGAATCTGTTGAAAAAAAGGAAGACCCTGCTCCGGAAACTCGTTTTAAAGTCTTTTATGGTTTCGATCCCGGCAAGAAGGCGACATTGGGTGGTGTAAGAAGAGTTCGTGGTGCACAACCGTCAATGGAAGACAAATTGAAGGATAATCACATTTATTTAAAGAGCAGCAGTTTTCGTTGGCAGATGAATGATTTCAGAAGAAGGGAAAGGAAAAAGGAATTTGGTCTAGATCTTCAAAAATATTACAAACAGTACGTGCTTGAAAATCCAGAAAAAATTGCCAATTTTTCAAAAACCAACTCGCGAGATTACAAGAGAATCATCGAGTATAAGCTGCATCTATTCCAAAGATTTCAAGAGTTGCACGAGCAAAAATGTGTGGTGCGATTAAAAATGGACAAATGTTTCGTGTCAGAGGGAATGTGAAAAATTGGTGAATTTCTTAATTGGAGAAACTTTTCAAAAACCTTGTTTTGTGGCTTTTGGTAATGCATCATTACCAAACTTTACACGTGGCTACGTTGGTACAGCGTTGAACCAATTGAAGAGAACGTTTGTTAATCGAGCAAAACAACTTGGTGACAAACGCTTGAAATTCGTTAAAGTAAATGAGTATCACACGACTGCGCTGTGCAGCAATTGCTGCTTTGATGTGATAAAATCCAAGAGTCCGCACAGATTTCTGCAGTGTAATAAATGCCGCACTACCTGGGAACGTGACATTAACGGTGGACGAAATATTCTGAACGTGGGACTCATCGATGAGGGAATAATCCCCAAGGAAGCACCATTTGACGAAGCCACTTTCCAGTATAGGAAAAGTAAGTATTAAAATTATTATATTTAAATCAAGTAGTAATTAGTTGAATCAAGAATATACTAAGTAATATATATAATTTTTTTTTATTTTCAGATTAAATTTTCTAGACGTTTTCATCATTCGACGCCTTCTTTATTGTTGTTATCGTCGCAATTTCGTTTGTTTACCGTCTTCATAAACAAATCAACGATTAAAAAAAAATTATATTCGCGCCTGGCAGCCCTCGAGGAAGTGGGAACACTGTGTTCTGCGCCCTAGAGGCGGCATACCGGGTTCAAGTTCACTTGAATGCAAGCTTTCATGCGTACTGGCCCCTTATGACTAAATAAGGGGAGAAGGGACCTTCTCATTAATTCTTATTATCACTATTGATAAGAATCAATAATAAGGAGAGGAATTTTTTAATTTTTTCTTAACGTTTCATTTTTTCAATTTTTAAAAATTTTAAATTAATTTATTTCATTTTTCTTTAACAATAGTTTTTTCCATAGTTTTTCTTTTTTTATTTAAAAATTTAAATAATAATTCTATTTTAAATTCGATCCAAACATAACCCTAATAAGTACGGATTATCGAGCATTTGACAATAATTGGTCAACGAACAGCAGGAAGACGAGGAGTGAAAAACATTTACGAATCGAAGTCTTCCCTTAAATTAAACAGGATATCATTAGGCAACGAAAGAACCGAGATATGATGCGACATTCCCGGAGAGAAAATGCGACCTTTCGCATCAAGAAGTTTACGATGTTCCATTTTTCAATTATTCCATGGGACATTTCACCCTAGCGCGAGAGCCACGAAACGACTTATCAGTGTCAAATACGTTTGGACGTCGATGAAGTGCGACATAAAAACCTGGGCCAGAGGATGCATTTAATCAGCGAGCTAAAGCGGGACGGCATGTTCATGTGAAGCCGGCACAATTTGCTTCCCCATCAGCACGTTTTAAACACGTTCACATAGATATTTTCGGACCTCCCCCAGAATGTGACGGATTTCGATATTATTTATCAATGATCAATGGGTTACAAGTTTTGGAAGTCCCGAAACAATAACTTCTGGCCAAGGTGCTCAATTCGAGTCCACAATGTTCACGGAATTGTAAAGCGTGAGTGGATGTATCAGGGTGCGAACCACCCCATATCACCCGGCATCTAACGGCACTCTCAATCGAATAACGGGTCATCCCCTTCCGAATTTCTGTACGGTTTAACCCTCAGAATCCCCGGAGAACTAATCGTTCCTGGGGACGAACCGACTGACCTGCGAAATTTTTAGTCCTAATTCCGCCGCAATATGCATAAGCTACGTGCAAAACCAGTGGAACGTCACATCAGAAATAATATTTTCATACACAAAGAATTGAACGACTGTTTACACGTATTCCTTCGCGCACTATCCAACAACAGATCTTTGCAGTGCCCATATACTGGCCCACATAGAGTTATTGAAGGAAACGCAGACAGAACGCTTAAAATTGATGTCAACAGAAAAATGAAAAATGTTTTCATCGAAAATGTTAAGCCAGCGCATTTTGCTCCTTGCAAAAAGTGTATAAAAATTCGAAATGTAGGTAACGAACACACCGATACTCGTGAAATCAATGTTAAATTAGATAGAAAAATAAGCCCAACATATGAAAATCTACCCATAGACAACATTTTTAATTATGATTCAAACCCCGAAAACAACCAAACTATAAACTTAGACAATGCGAATAACTCGGTTCAACGAAACGAAACATGTAATCGACAACTCAAATCATTAGAAGGATTAAATTTTAAAATTAAAGAAAAAGCTAACTTAGATAATCGCGAAATCAATACAGAATAGAAAGATAATAGAAACTTGACAAATATAAACGAACGATGCGATAAGCAAGTTAGATTCTAACTAGGAGACTCAGTCGAGACAAACAAATGTAAAATAAACTCGAGACCGAACACTGCAAGTAATAGGGAGAAAGACACGCTTCATATTCATAAAACAAATCAACCTATAAAAAAAATTTATTCCCGCAATTTTGAGAAGGGGCATTACTTTTAGACAATACTTAACATAAAAAAATAATAATAAAAAGAAAAACACATTTCGGCATATAGGATGTGAGTCGTGTCTCCCTCGAGAGGAATCTTGGAACACTCGGGTGTCGAAGCCATAAAAAAAGAAGAAGAAGAAGAAGCCGGAGTAAGCGTGGATGGAATGAGCGGGAGAGGTTAAATCTTCTCCCAGTTTGGTTGTGTATACACGGAAAAAATAAGTTCAGCAGATTTTACGAAACTAATTTCGCACTAGCGGATATTTAAGATTCCTAGACGAAGTTTTTCAAAAACCCAGAAACTTTCACTACTTTAAGCAGAACAATTGTCGAGAAACTGCAACCAGTGTTGTAATTTATAAAACAAGCTTGAATGTAGAAATGTTTCGTATTTTCTGGTGAACATTTTATCAGAAAATGGTAAAAATGTTTCGTGCAATCTAAAAACGCGTGGTTTGAGTTTCCACTTCGCTGTCTATCGTGAATTCTCGAACACAAAGTTTCGTAAAATTCTATACGGGGTGTACCAAAAGTCGCGTTATAAATAGATATGTTGAAGCTTGTCTCGTCGCGTCGGTATTAACTTGTCTGCTGTATATAGATATAATATGTGGAAGGAAAAAGAGAACTGCTTTACCTGCCGGTAACATTTGGATAATTGTTTTCTTTTACGTATTTCACATTTCATTGTTCCAAATTCGTAACATTTTTTATGTGCTTTTGTAATCCAAACTTTTAATTATTATTAATTTCTTTTAATTTACAGTCCAATAAATTTTATAGTTTATCATAATATTTACCGATGACAATATATATATTAATTTCTCAAGTTTTAACTGTTATTACTTCAAATTTTAGACAATTTAATATAAACATTTTTTGAGTTTGAATTTAATTTTGAAAATTTTTTGTCAATTTATTTATAATTTAAAATTAAGAATAAAATTATTTTCTAAAAATTGAAAAATTTTATAGAGATTTTATAACTAATTATAATCAAAAAATGTTATTTTAAAAACCATAAAATATTTTGTATAACTTTTAAAAAAATGATTTTTTTAAAAATTAATATTCAGTATATTGACATTTCTCACAAGCGCAGTTTTAATCTCTTCAGTTAGTATGTAAAGAAACTCAATTCTTTCATCTACAAGTGCGAGTTATATTGTATGTGCGTTGCGTCAGAATTCGTTTATATGTATGCGTATTTCCGTTAAGTTAGTGTCAGAATAAAGTAAGCCAATCCAAGCGAACCATTGCGTTGTAGAGTGCAGTCACATGTGTCGAACCAATCATCTATCTCCTATAGAAGACGAGAAAAAATGGTCTTGAGAGCTCATTGGTACATTAAGAAATTCTTTTTTCTGCTTTATTCGTTTTTTTCTCCGTGAATATTTTTTTCCGTGGCGCATGCGCTTCAGGCTAAACATTTTACAAAACTCTTGAATTAGAACGTCCAACCGATCATTTGTGAATTCCATAGAATTTTTTTTGAGTTTTCGAGAAACGCAGTCATCATATATTACTATTGATTCTGTTTTATCTTATACTAAACTCCTCTCCGTATCCGCTATTCCAAAATTAGTTTCGTACAATGTACTAAATTAATTTTTTCCGTGTAGAATTGCTAAGTTGACGACTCTGTGATTTAATGTAATAAGTGTTAACTAATTGGAATTATATATTTATCGTTGTTACAACATTCTGTCTTCCTTTTCATAAATATTTTCTTATTAAAGATTTATTAGTTTTACTAATTATGGTTATTAGACTATTACTTATTAATTGTTTAAATCCTTATGTTTTAGGGGACCCTGAAAATTTTAATTTAGCTAATCCTATGGTTACCCCAATTCATATTCAGCCTGAATGATATTTTCTTTTTGCTTATGCAATTTTATGGTCTATTCCTAGTACTCTAATTTACGATTTTCATAAAGAAAGTGTAAAAATTTTAATTTTTATGGGAGAACAGGCTGTCACAAAATTGCGATTTTAGTGCTTGGTTGGTTTACCTTTTTGTTTGTTTACATTTCACAACTTGGCCATATGCCCTTAACAAAGTTAGGCGCATTTCAATTTTTAAAACTGCGAAGTCTGATTTCAAGAAAATGACGGTAAAAAATATTAAAATTATTGTATCCTTCTTGCAACTACCAATAATGTAATGATTCTTTTTGTACCTAAGTTCAGATTAAATATTCTTTGAAATCCCACAGGTTTCATTAAAAAAAATTTTAATTTAACAAAATGAAGGCTATTTTTCAAAAAAAATTAAAATCAAATTATTTTCCAAAAGAATTTTTCAGGTCCCGCGTCTTAAAGAAGAATACAATTTTTTTTTTGCTTTTTCAAAAATGAAAATTCGACAAGAATTTCTTTTTAATTTTTGAAAATTAAATTTCTGAAAAGAATTTTAATATTTAAGATAGTTGAATTCTTTCAAAAAATTTCTACGCTGGTAGTTAATAAAATGGTGTAAAAATTCTTTTCATTCTAAAAATGTAATTAGATAAAGAAAGTGGCAAAACTCACCTTACAAATAAATGGACGTTCACCAGTGTGTGTCCTCAAGTGCGCTACCAGAAATGATTTTAATTCAAATTTCTTAGCACAATATTGACAAACATGCTGTCCCTTCCTCTTGTGTACAAATTGAATATGTCGATCTCTACTTTTCGTAAAATTAAAACATCTCTCGCAATGTGGACACTTGTGCTCCTTAAGATTCTGATGTGTTATAAGATGCTGTTCCAGTGCTTGTTTTAGCTTAAAAATTCGAATACAACCCTGAACGGTACATTTATATTCACTGTTTTCATGTGTTTTCATATGATAATAAAGTGAATGTTTACGATTCATTACTTTGTTACATATTTTACATGAAACTTTATTTGATTGATGAACTCTCATATGTGCTTTAATATCACTTTTTGTTCTAAACGTATGCTGGCAAGTATCACAAATAAATTTACGTTCAACAGTGTGTGAACCTAAATGCTTATTTAATTCATAGTTTGTAATGTAACTCTTGTCGCATTTATTACATTTGAATGGTCGATCTTTAATTACGTGTTTCTCTTCATGAATTCGTAGATAATATTTAGATGATAAACGTTTATCGCAAATTGAACAAATGTACCTCTTCCTGCCATGTGTGTACAAATGTCGATGTAATCCTGCTCGTCCTTTAAATTCTCTTGAACATTTTGGACATATCAGCTTTCTTTCTGGAGATATTTTTGCTTTATTTATTAGTTCTTCGATGTCATCATCATTATTCTCAATATCATCTTTTGCATTGTAATCCTTATCATCCTTGTCCTCATTATCCTCTTCTTCCTCAGTATCATCTTCATCATTATCATCAGAATTAGCATCGACATCTTTAGCATTATTTTTAGCATCATCACCACCTTTGTAATCATCAGACAATGATGAAGAAGCTTTACCTGATCTTAGAAAATTTTTCGGCAAATTTGAAGAATCTTTTTTCATCAACGAAAAATATTTTGTTAACACATAATTTCTAGTGACGGGAATTTCTCGACGTTTTTTCAATTTTGTTCCTGGCGATAGTTTTTTTGATGAAGATTTTAAAGATGAATGTTTGCTTCTTAAATAATCAGAGAGAAATTTTTCAGGTGATGAACAATCGATGCCACTTTTCTTCTTCGAAAAATTCATTTTCATAATATCCGTTAAGGTGACAGAAAGACGTTTATTGCAAATATTGAATTCCAAATTTTTATCCATCCGATTTTCAGATTCATTTCGCAATTTTTGAACCATCTCGACTTTAGCTTTCGTTTCCAATTCGATTTTCTCTTGTTTTTTCAATTCGTTTTGTGATTTTTGACGATTTTCACCCCTTAATTTCGTTCTCAATTCGATTTTCTCTCGATTTTCCGATTTTTGACGATTTTCAACGGTAGGTTTCGTTCTCGATTCAATTTTCTCTCGATTTTCAGAGTCTATCGATTTTTTTCGATTATCGACTTTTACTCTTTTTCTCGAATTTTCTAATTTATTATTTTCCGATTCGATTTTCTCAGGATTTTCCGATTTTTCACGATTATCGACTTTTAGTTTTCTTTTTGATTCTATTTTCTCTCGATTTTCCAAAATGTTTTGCGATTTTTGACGGTTATCGATTTTTTCACAATTTTCTCCTTGAAAATTATTTTCGGAATCGATTTTTTCTCGATTTTCCGACTCGAGTGACGATTGTTGATGATTGTCGATTTTCAATCTCTTTCTTGTTACAATTTTTTCTCGATTTTCTCCCTCGTTTTGCGATTTTCGCCGTTTACCGATTTTTAATTCCAATTTAGATTTTTCCGATTTTTCTAACTCAAAATCGAGTTTCTCTGGATTTTCCGATTCTTTTCGATCTTCAGTTCTTAATTTCTTTGCCGATTCGATTTTCTCTCGATTTTCCGATTCGAGTGGCAACTTTTTTCGCTTTTCCGTTATTTCCGTTTCAATTTTTTCTCGATTTTCCGACTCGATTGGCAAGTTTTGGAGTTTTTCCAATTCGAGTGACAATTTTTTTCGTTTTCTGCCGTCAAATTTCTTTTTTAACTTGATTTTCTTGCGATTTTCTAAGTTTTTCGATTTTCCGTCTTTTTCTAAATAAAATTTTTCATTTGATGACGCGATTTTTTCTTGATTTTCCAAGTTAATTTTCTCGATGTTTCTCAATGTTTCACGATTTTCGTTTGAATTTTCAGTTGTTTTTATTAAATCAAAACGTGATTTTTGCCAATTTTCAAAATCTAAACGTTCGAGAACAATTTTCACTTCGGGCAAATGATTTTTATTGACAATATTTTGATCTAAAGGATTTCTCATCCATTTACGAATACTTTGTTGTGAATCTTCTCTTCTTTGACTATAACGTCTTTTGAATGGGGAAATTCTTTTTGCTACAATTTTCGAATGATTTTCCGTTAGTTTTGTTAATTTTGGTGATTTTTCATTTACAATTGTTTCGCTGGATTTATTAGTGTATTTTTTAGAATTAATTACCGCTTGAGGGGGAGTTTTATTAAATTGTAAGACAAAATTTTCGACTTCTTTTTCAGAATAAAAATTGTTCTCTTTGTTTGATTCGATTTTTTTATTACTTGTGGAAATTGGACTTGTTGACGTATTTTTTTCGATGTTTTCTAATTCTTTGGTTGATACCCCCAGAGTTACACGATTTTCGTCGGAGATTTCATTTTCATCGTTAATTATATTTTCTTTGGAAAATTTTTTTGCTGAAATTTGATTTTCTTTGGAAAATTTGTCGTTTTCCGTAGAATTTCGATTTTCTCTGGAAGATTCCTCTTTTTCCACTAAATGTCGATTTTCTCTAAAAATTTCACTGTTTTCCGTAGAATTTCGATGTTTATCAGAATTTTTAGTCGTTAAATCTCGATTTTCTCTGAAAAATTCCTCCTTTTCCGCTGAATTTCGATTTTCTCTAGAAATTTCGCTGTTTTCCGTAGAATTTCGATATTTATTAGAATTTTTAGTCATTAAATTTTGATTTTCTCTGGAAAATTCCTTTTTTTCCGTCGAACTTCGATTTTCTCTGGAAATTTCCTCTTTTTCCGATGAATTTCGATTTTCTCTGGAAAATTCGCTGGTTTCCGTAGAATTTCGATTTTCACTAGAATTTTTAGTCATTGTATTTTGATTTTCTTTGGAAAATTCCCTTTCCTCCGTCGAACATCGATTTTCTCTGGAAAATTCGTCTTTTTCCCCTAAATTTCGATTTTCATTCGTTGAAATTTGATTTTCGTTAGTAACATCGTCTTTTTCTGGCGAAATTCGATTTTGTCCAGAAAATTCATCATTTTCCCTAGAAATTTGGCTTTCCCCAGATTTTTCATTCTCAAAAATACGATTTTCCCCAGAAAATTCGCATTCGTCGACAGAAATTCGTTTTTCAACGGATAATTCATCAGTTATCACGTTAATTCGATTTTCTTCGTAAAAATCACTTTCGAAATTTAGATTTTCCTCCGAATATTTATCAGCAAAAATTTCCATTTCTTTGGAAAATTCAACAACTATTTTTTTTGCTTTTCTTTGATTTTTATTGGAATCTGTTTTTGCAGAATTTTGACCTTTTTTGCAGAACTCATCGCTTTTGGTAGTTTTTTGCACAATAATTTCATCTATTTCACTATTTTTAGTTAATTTTGTTTCATTATTAGTAGAAATTTCATTTTCTTTGGAATTTATTAAATTATCATCGACTAATGTTTGTTCAATAGATTTTGTTGATTCATTGGACAATATTGAAGATGCATTTTCTTCCAATAATTCATTTGAGAAGAGTGGTTTTTTTTCATCTTCTTCGAATGATATTTCCATTGCTGAATGAATTTCCTGTGATGTAATTTCTTCCCTTTCATTCTCTGTATTTATTTCTGTTTTTATTTCGCTGGTTGTTGTTTCCAAATCGACTTTTTCTTCACCTGCGACAATTTTTTTTTTATAATTATTTCAAATTAAATTAAAGTACCTAAGTAAATATTATTAATTAATTTATCTAAATTATTTTTCTTTTTTTACATTATTTTACTTAAATTATATAAAAAAAAATGTAATAAATAAAAGAAAAAATAGTAACTAAAATAAATTTCCTAATTTCCTTTAAAATGTTTACTTTTTAATGAAGAAAGGATAAAATTGAGAAATTTACTTTCTATTTCTTCGCAGTCGTTGTCCTCGAGACAGCTCGTTACATGTTCAAATTCCGTGTCTTCATATTCCGTGTCCTCTTCTTTGATGCTTTCAAAATCGGTTTCAAAATCAGACACAAAATTTGTTTCTTCCTCATTGCTTACAGTTTTTTGCTGGAAAAATTGTGATTCTTAAAAAATAAATTTTTAATAAATTTAAAAATAATTGAAGGATCAATCTATTACATATTTTGGAAAATTTGATATAAAATTAAAACATTATAAATAATTTTTCTTGAAAAATATATAAATTATGTACCTTTATTTCGACCTTGTATTTATTTAAAGGTCCAATAGAAACGATATCGTAATTTTCTAATTCAATCTTCGAGCCGGTTGTATATTTTTGTCCGTTAATAACAACGCCAGCCAAACTCTGAAAAAAAATTATTTTTAATTTAATTAATTACCAAAGATTAACATTAATATTTTTCATCAAAAAAGAAAAAACAATTTTTTTAAAATTAATATCTTTTTCCATACCAAACATTTTTTTTTGTCTAGTTCCTAAATAACAATATTGTTTTCTTTTTTTTCTATATCCTTCAAATTTTTTTTCTCTGCAATTAATTTCAAATTTTATTCATTTGAGCAAAATAAATTCACTTTTTGAAAATTTACCTCTAAAACTTCAACGAACAATCCATCTGAATTATGATGAATAATACAATGATTTTTCGATACTGTCGGTGCAAATAGAACAACATCGTTTTCCGCTTTACGACCAAATGTATACTGAAAAAAAAACAATTATAAAATTAAATATTAACATTTATTTCTAGAGATATTGTCAATTCAACTACAATATTAAAATATTGTAAATATTAAAAACAATTTCTGTTATTTATTTCTTTTGAACTTATTTTTTATAAATATTTAAATATAAAAAAATTTTAATAAAGTATTAAAATATTGTAAATATTCTAATTTTATTCTTATATTTATCTTTTTTAAATAAATATTTAATTATTAATTTTTCCATAAAAATTAAAATTCTTCAAAAGACTGAAATTAAACAACTTATAAAAAATTGTTATAAAACATGAAGATATCGATCACTCCGAATCTTCAACTCGGAGCAATCAATATCTTCATGTTTTATAATAAATTTAAGATGACAAAGTAATAAAATCATTATTTTATTTCATAAGAATATTTTAACTAAAAATTTAAATTTTTAAAGATTTTAATTTTAACCCTTTTCAGTATTCAATTATTTCTAAAAATTCACGCTATAATGTTTTTAATATTCAATTATAATTTAAAATTTTAAGTGAAATTCATTTTTTAATCAATTTTTATTAGAAACTTCAAACTTTCCCGAGAATTCAATTATTATTTAAATACAAAAATAAATACTTTATTCAGTAATTGCATGTTTTTTAAAATTGAATTTTTATGACGAATTTTTTGTCAAAATTTTTAATAATAATTTAATTCTTTCGGCGAATTTAAAAAGAAATTGTAAGAATAAATGCAATTTTCTCTCATTTTATTAAAAATTTTATAAAAATAATTGAAATTCTGCGATAAGTTTTGTTATTTATGAAAATAATTGAATTCTTGTAACGAATTTTATTAAAAAAATTTTTAAAGAATTGAATTCCTGTGAATAATTTTATTTGTAAAAATAATTGAATTCCATAGAAAAATATTATTATTTATGAAAATAATTAATTTCTTGTGAAGAATTTTATTCAAATTTTTTTAAATAATTGAATTTTTCAGAATTTTTAAAAACTTTTTAAAAATAATTAAATTTTATCTAGGAATTTCAATAAAAAAATTGAAAATAATTGAAATCTGACAAAGAATTAAAATAAGTTTTTTTAAATCCTAATTGAATTCCTGTGAAAATGTTTATTTTTGAAAAAATTGAATTCTTGGGAAGAATTTTATTAAAATTTCTTAAATAATTGAATTGATTAGAAGAATTTTATTTTTTACGAAAATAATTGAATTGTTTCGAAGAGTTTTATAAACATTTTTGACAATAATTGTATTTCTAGAAAAAATGTTGTATTTTACGAAAATAATTATTTTACAATTATAATTGTATTCTATGACTGATTTTATTATAATTTGTCAAATTTATAAAGCATTTTATCAAAATTTTTTAAAATAATTGAATTCTCAAGAAAGAAAATAATTGATTTCTAGCGAAGAATTTTATTCAAATTCTTTTAAATAATTGAATTACTATAAAAAAATGTATTATTTGTGAAAATAATTGAATTCTTAAGAAGAAATTATTTTATATTATAAGAATATTGTTACTGTAACTTATTACAAATTACTTTCATCACTACAATTCATTTATTGTTTTCCAGAATTTTGAACTAAGATTCTTCTTTAAATTTATTATTTTTAATAATTTTTGAAAAATTTCTTTGAAAATTTTTATTTTTTTTTTTTGTTTTTAATTCAATTTTAGGAAATTCTATCGATTATTCGGAAATTTTTCAATCAAATATAGGGGAGACTGGGGCGAAAAGTTAAATTGTGAAAACAGTTAAAATTCATTATCTTTTGAACGGAAATAGTTAGAGCATTGCAACCCTGAATAAATGTCCAGAGTTATGTGACATTCTGCTAATTTTTGTGGTGTCCATATTTAATTTTTTTTTTCACCCTACTTTTGAAAATTTTTTCGTAAAAGAAAATATCAACTTTTAAGTATATTTTTTGCATTTATTCTCACCGCGATTTTTTTACTTCATTATTTGGGTCCCCTGAAGAGATACCTAAAGGTATTTGCTAAATATATTTAGTCAGATTTTTTATATTTGTTGTTAAAGCCAAAAACGCACCCTGGGGCGAAAAGTTAAATGTATTTTTACATGTTATTAAATTTTTTTTTATTTTTCGTTTTTTTGGGCTTATTTGTTTGTTTAAAAATGATTTATTTGACATTAGGCAAGTACTCTATCAAAAAACAAGACCGCTCACGTGAAATAAACCAAAAAAAATTTTTTTTTTGAAATTTCAATTTATTAACTTTATAACTATTCTAAAGCTTTTGTTAAGTAAACAAAGATCTTTTATTAACTAAATTACTTGTTTACGTATACTTTAACTTATCTACTATTTATAGGGGACAAGTTGCCCAACAATATTGATGTATAAATATTTGCATCTAAGCGGATTATATTGTCTAAAAAAAATCATTTATGCAAAATTTAACTTTTCGCCCCAGTCTCCCCTATATTAGAAAATAAAAACTTCAAATAAATTTAAAAAAATTCAATTAAACTTTTTCAAAAAAATTAAATCTACCCAATTTTTAGTTAAAAGTATGAAAAATTCAAACATTCAAAAATTATAATTTGAAATCTTTTCAAAATTCAATTATTTCTCAAAATTAAAATTTCTAAAATTATTATCAAAAATTTTAACTGAAATTCATATTTAAATCAATTTTTATTAGAAAATTTTACAATAATTCAATTATTTGATTACAAAAATAAATAATTTATTGAAAAATTGAATATTTTTTTGAAATTGAACTCTCATAAAGAAAGTAAAAATTTCTAAAATATTATCAAAAATTTTAACTGATATTCATATTTAAATCAATTTTTATTAGGAAATTTTATAAGAATTCAATTATTTAATTACAAAGATAACTAATTTATTGAAGAATTGAATGTTTTTTTTTAATTGAACTCTCATAAAGAATTTTATCAACAAATTTTTAAATAGGTAATTAAAAATCTTTTGACGAATAATTTTAATTTTCGAGAAATTAGATTAAAATTGTATTAAAAATAATTGAATCTTTGTAAAAAAAATTTGATTGAATTAAAAAAAGTTTTTTAAAATAATTGAAATTTTGCCAAGAATTTTATTAAAATTTTTGAAAATAATTGAATTTTGGAGAAAAATTTTATTTTTTATAAAGATAATTGAAATTTTGAAGAGAATTTTTTTTTAAACTTTTAACCATAATTTAATTTCTGCGAAGAATTTTATTACTTTTGAAAATAATTGAATTCTTGAGGCGAATTTTTAAATTTTATCTTTTTAAAACAATTATTGAAATCTTTTATGAAATTTTATTGAAATAGTAGATATTGAAAATAATAAATTGAATTTTGATAAATTAATTCAAATTAATTAAACTACGTAGAATTTTATTGAAATTAATTTGAAAAAAATTGAATTATTAAAAAGAATTTGATCAAATTTTTTGAAAATAATTTAATTCTTTCAAGAAATTGAATTTCTTTGATGAATTTTAATAAAATTTTTAAGAAAACCTACATTTTTTGAGAAATTCCTTTAAAATTGTATAAAAAATAATTGAAACTCTACGATGAGTTTTATTATTTATTATAAGTAGTTGAATCTGTTTAAACAAAATTGATTATTTATGGAAAATTGAATTATTGCGAAGAGATTTTTAAAGATTTTGTAAATAATAGAATTTTTGTGAAATTTTTATTATTTAATTTAAAAAATTTATAAAAAAAAATTAAAATTGAAATTTTACAAAATTTCAAATTACAACCTTTTGAAGTTTATCTATTAATGGAAATTTTAAACGCAACTCTTTTAAAAATTTAATAGGACAAAAAAAATGTTTTAACTTACCGATTTTTGTTGATTTAGAAATAAAACTTCATTGGCAAAATCGCCATCATCAGTTATACGTTTTAATGTCACCTCCATGATAAAATAGCCTAGAATTTTTAAAAAGAAGTAAATTCTTTGATGGAAGATAAAATTAACTGACGAATATTATTTTTATTACGTTTACTTTGCTTTCTATTTAATATTTATTTACGTAAATAAATTATACGAATTTGCTAAGATTTAATTTATTAAATTTTTATTTATTCTTTCTTTAATTATTAGCAATTATTAGTTTCAAAAGAATATTATTATTCTTATTAGTTTCAAAATAAAGAAAAATTAAATTTGAGGTTATGTTTCACCTTGAAAGAATGTATAAGTGGAAAAATTTGATATAAATACTTAAAACAAAAAAAAATAGAAATTCTAAGTAAAATTTTTAAGGTTCAATATTAATCAGTTAGATTTTATTACACTTTTTTAAATACATATTTTTCCAGAAAAGAATACTTTCGTTTTTAGCATAAAAAGTGCGTAAAATAAACAAAACTGTTTACAATTTTTTATTCTTGTTGTAATAAGTCATTTGAATGAAAAATATTTACAAAATTTGTTAGTTTCTATAGATTAAGTAGTTGGAAGGGTAAAAATATACATTTTTCCCTCTTATTTACATTAATATTTATTTATTTTAATTTATTATCTATTCATAATTATACTCACCATTTAGTTTTCCGGCCGCAAAAAACAGATCCAAGGTTGGGTAGCGAGATAATGTGAGGTTTTTTAAATTCATAAAGGTGCGTTCACATCCTGTTGTGTAAATTCCCCCATTTTCCCCGAAAAATTCACTAGTGATTTTTCCTTTCATTGGTAATGTTTGAAATATTACGTTGGCCAAACTGCGAATCTAACCTAGAAATTTATTACCATACCGGTTCTACTTGCGCGCTCGTGGTTGTAAAAATTTCATCATTCATTTATAAAAAAGAAAGAAATTTAGTTTTCCTAAAAAATGGCACAAAGTAAAATGGATTTTGCAATGAAACTTGGTAAATTACCGCCTGGATTAAATTTGGGTGCATCGGCATTAATTGGTCTCGGTGCCCTTGTCTACGGAGTTTCACAATCATTTTTCACAGGTATTTTTCTTTTTTTCTCTCTTATTAATTAATTATTCACTTTTTATTTTTCGCTGACTATTAACTTTATTTCGTTTTTTTAAATATAATGATCACTTTTTTTTTACACGAGGTTTTTTTCTTTCTTTTTTTCTAACCGAACATTTTTGAGGTTAGGATTTAGAGTCTTATGAAACAGGAAAGAATTCGCTTGAGTTCATAGGTCATAAGTAGTTATAATTATTACGAGAAGATCTATTTTTACGAAAATTATAAATTTTTTTTGCAGCAAATGACAAAATATTTATAAACCTATTTTACAAGTTTAAGTTAAAAAAAAATTTCATTCGGTTTATTACACAATTTATGCAATTCTTTTATTGAAATATTGTTTTCAAGTATTATTACCTAATAGACTTTTAAATTAATAAAGAATTTTAATTATTTGCGAATTATAAACATTTATACAATTATTTTTTTAAAAAAGTAATTCAATAATTTTATAAAATAATTTTTATATAATAATACTTACTTAAAAAATACTAATTATTATTTAAAAATATTGAGTTTTATCAAAAATTTGTATTTTTTATTAAAAAATACAACATTTAAATAAAAAGTTGGTATTTTTTTAATAAAAACTAATTTTTATTTAAAAATATTAAAAAATACTAATATTTCGAATACAAAATAATATTTTTAAATAGAAAAGTATTTAAAACTATTATTTTGTATTCAAAATTAATATTTTTTATTAAAAAATACAAAATTTGAATAAAAGGTTAGTATTTTTAAATTTTTTAAATAAAAATATGTTTTTATTAAAAAACTACTTTAAAAAAGTTGGTATTTTTTCTTGAAAAATATTAATTTTTTTTCAAAATTAATATTTTTTTATTAAATAATACCTACGAAATTTGAATAAAAAATAGTATTTTGCAAGAGAATTAGTTTTTATTAAAAAAAATACTAATTTTGAACAAAAATTAATATATTAAAATAAAAATACCAACTTTTTATTCGAGCATTGTATTTAAAAAAAAAATACTAATTTTGAATAAAAATGAATACTCTTAAATAAAAATTACTTTTTTTAATAAATACTTTTTAAATAAACTAATTATTATATAAAAATAATAATATAATTCAAAATTAGTATATTTTTATTAAAAAATACAAAATTTGAATTAATAAATTGGTATTTTTATTTAAAAATATTAATTCTTATTCAAAATTAGTATTTTTTTAATTGAGAAATGCAAAATTTGAATGAAAATTAGTATTTTTTAATAAAAAATTAGTTTTTAATAAAAACATACCGAAAAACATGTTGGTATTTTGATTTAAAAATATGAATTTTTATTCAAAATTAGTAAATTTTATTAAAAAATACAAAATTTGGATAAAAATTGGTATTTTTTTTATTAAAAGCAAATTTTTATTTAAAATTAGTATTTTTTATTAAAAAATACAAAATTTAAATAAAAAATTTGTATTTTTTTTATTAAAACTAATTTTTATTTAAATTTAGTATTTTTTATTAAAAAATACAAAATTTGAAAAAAAAATTTGTAATTTATCAATAAAAACTAGTTTTTATTCAAAATTGATATTTTTTTTTATTAAAAAATGAAAAATTTGAATAAAAATTTGTTTTTTTTATTAAAAGATGCAAGAATTGAATAAAAATTAGTAATCTTTTATTAAAAAATGCAAAATTTGAATAAAAATTAGTATTTTTTTAATAAAAATTACTTTTTAATAAAAAATTTCAAAAAACAAGTTAGTATTTTCATTTAAAAATATTAATTTTTATTTAAAATTAGTAAAATTTATTGACTAATACAAAATTTGGATAAAAAATTGGTTTCTTTTAATAAAAACTAATTTTCATTTAAAAGTAATAATCTTTTTATTAAAAAATGTAAAATTTGAATAAAAATTAGTATTTTTTTAATTAAAAAATGCAAAATATGAATAAAAATTTGTATTTTTTTATTTAAAAAATTCAAAATTTGAATAAAAATTAGTCTTTAATAAAAAAATACCAAAAAACAGGTTGGTATTTTTATCTAAAAATATTATTTTTTATTAAAAAATACAAAATTTGAATAAAAAATTAGTATTTTTAAAATAAAAACTAATTTTTATTTCAAGTTAGGGATGTATTTTTTATTAAAAAATACAAAGTTTGAATAAAAAATGTTTTTTTTTTAAATAAAAATTAATATTTTTTAATGAAAATTGCCTGATGACAAGTCGACGAACTAAAAATTTCATTAATAAGAGAAGGACAGAGATATGTCTATCCTTTTCTTACTAATGGTAATTTTTAGTTAGTCCACTTGCCACCAGGATCTTTGCCTTGTTATTAAAAAATATATAATTTTAAGTAATAATAATAAAAATAATTATGGTGATTATTATTATTTGTATTTATATACTTTTTAATAACAAAACAAAATATTAATAAAGAAATAATAAAGAACATTTCGTTTCATCATTTCTGGATAAATTTAGTTGACGGTGGACATCGTGGAATAATGTTTTCACGAGTAAGTGGAGTTCAAAAAGATATATTCACCGAGGGTTTGCATTTCCGTGTTCCCTGGTTCCAATATCCAATTATTTACGACATCAGAAGCAGACCGAGGAAAATCTCCTCACCAACTGGTTCAAAAGATTTGCAAATGGTTAATATTTCACTTCGAGTTCTATCACGACCTGACGCCCTCACATTGCCCGTAATGTATCGTCAACTTGGTCTCGATTACGACGAGAGGGTAATAAACTTTTTTTCATCTCTTTACTTCAAATATATTAATACTGCCTTACTTTCCGTTTGTTTTTTTAATAAATATATAACATTAATATTTATATATATATAAGACGTTAGATAGAAAGTTTTAACCTTTTTTTCCCATAGGTATTGCCCAGTATTTGCAATGAAGTTTTAAAATCAGTCGTTGCCAAATTTAATGCCTCACAATTGATAACGCAACGACAGCAGGTGTCGAATTTAATTCGTAAGGAATTAACAGAACGCGCACGTGACTTTAATATTATTCTTGACGATGTTTCAATTACTGAACTTAGTTTTGGCAAGGAATATACGGCGGCAGTTGAGGCGAAACAAGTCGCACAACAAGAGGCGCAACGTGCTGCTTTTGTCGTTGAACGGGCAAAACAAGAACGACAACAGAAAATCGTACAAGCCGAGGGTGAAGCCGAAGCAGCAAAAATGATATCCTTTTTTATATAAACATTTTTAGTCAATTTTCCTTTTATTTAGCAGTGCAGAGACCAGAATTATATCCATACACGGAAAAAAGATATTCACCTGGAACAGCTACAAATTTCACTAGATTAGTCAAATTTTTAGTTGTTAAGACTTTCGCTATTTTAGAGAAACTTATCGCTGTTCCAGGTAAAATTTTTGTTCCGTGTATCATTCAAATTCTGTAATACAAGAAAGAAGATTTTTAGATTTTCAAAGCAATTGAAACTGAAGCATTAGAATGACAGTTCTAGAGTTAGCTCTGAAGATTGATAACTCTGGAACGTTTATTAAGGGCCGTTTTCATCAACGTTGATTAAAAGTTAACCAAATGAAATAAATCTTAAGCCGGCGAATCGTGAGCGGTTAAATTGAATTTAATCGCTGATTAACTTTGATTCAGAGTTTGTAAAATTGGCCCTTAGCAGTGCAGAAACCGGAATTATATCCATATCAAATTCTATAATTCAAGAAAGAAGATTTTAAAATTTCAGAAGCAATTGAAACTGAATTATTAGGAACAGTTCTAGAGTTAGCACTCTGCAGTGCTTAACAGCACTGAAGAGTGATACCTCTAGGTACTGTCCTACGGTAAAAAATAATAAAAACAAAAAGGAAAAAATTATTTACCTCAAAGGTAATAATCCTTTAGTCCTTTAGAAAAAAAGGCATGAGTGGGAAATCTCGAATTGAAATCGAAATAATCGAATGTACTCTCGCAGTTATAGCAATGAAAATGAAACATAGAACGCACACTCATATTTCCAAATCCAAATGAAATATAGTACCTTAAAAACTCACACATAGTTAGAAAATGGAGCTACAGTCGCACTTTTCAATATCATTATGAAGTGGCAATTTTTATTTTAATTAACTTAACTTTAGAGAAATTAAATGAAAATTTAGGTAATTTTAAGTGAGTCACAATAAACAATTTAAAATTAAATAAAAGGAACATTTGACATAGAAAAAAGAAGGAAGCAAAGAAGTCGACCGCGAAGAATTGCTACGTGCGAGACGCATACGCTATTTTTTCGCCATTGATATGAAAAAGTGAAACATTTTGCAAAATTAAGTAACTGAATGATTTACAATTATCACTGACCGAATAACTAAGTAAGCAACTAAATAAATAAATGAGGAGCAAGTTTTCAAAAGTTGATAAATCCATTTTTCAACAAAATTGAGGTAAACACATATATAGGTCAAATTTTCTCAAAAAAATCAAAGTCGGTCATGGGTCTTTCAATTCTTGTGAAACTTGGTATAAATGTAGTGTTTTATGACAGAAGATTTTAGAAAAAAAGATTTTTAGAAATTTTGAAAATTGTGGATTTTACCGGGCATCAAACATTAAAGTACATTTTTTTAAAAAAACGAGTAACTTTTATCCATAAGATAATTTATTTGTTACTCAGTGTTTATTCTCCACAATGATGATTACAAGGGGGTTAAATTTATTTACAAAATGTTTACAACAATAATAATGGTTAATTTCATTTTTTATTTTATTAACAATTATATAAACAACTTAATAATCAAAATAATAGGAAGTATTAACTAAACAGAAGTAAAACAAGATCGTGCAACAGATGCGACGCATTCGCGTAAGTGCAAAGTATGTGCGCTGCAGGACAAAAAATTCGATATTTCGGTTAGTTTTAAAGTTTCTAAGAATTTTTTTTTTGCAAAAAAATTCTGGAGAAGATAAGGAATCCAAATATAATAGTTACAAAAAAATCTAAGGGGTGCTTATGTTCGAAAAAATGAAATAAAAATTTTTTTTTACTTTTTTTCGGGCAAATTTTGGATTTTTCTTTTTTTAATATTGCACTTTAAATTGTTAGAAAATCAATTATTATTACCCGAAATTTAACTAAATGGATAAAAGTTATTTGTTTCTCAAAAAAAATGTACTTTAATGTTTGATGCCCGGTAAATGTAAAAAATAATTAGTAAAAAAGATCGTGATTGGAAAAAAAATTAGTGGAATAAAATATTAGTGGAAAAAAAGGTTATTGGAAAAAAAATTAGTGGAAAAAAGGTTATTGGAAAAAAGAATTAGTGGAAAAAAAGGTTATTGGGAAAAATGGAATGGATAAACTGGTGTACAATCAACTAAATGATTTACAATTATCACTGACTTAATAACTTTTAGACTTCATTAAGTGACTGACTTTTAGAAACCGATTTTCTTAATATTTCTTTAATTAAAGTATTAATATTTTAATAGTATAGTTTTTAATGTTTTAAAAAGTAAATCTGGGAATTTGAAAATCATCATTCGCTAGGCACCCTTTATTTAAAAAAAATAAAATTCGATACTACGGTTTTATTTCATTTTTGTATTTAAATCTTTGCCGTTGCTAACTTATCCACAATCTATCGCCATGTATCATAAATTCTGTAGTCTCCACCGAATGTCTAATCTGACGATTTTTGATAATAGCGTTCGGTAGTATCAGCAGAGGGTTAATTTTTATCCTTCTATGAAAAGAGTAGATATTTAAATTAGATAAAGGAAGACATTCTAATGTTGTTTATTTTCGAAAGAGGAAGAAAGCAATACCGTTACCTGAAGAGGGACAATTTTATGCCATTTTCATTTAATAAAAAGAAAGATGGGAATGCGTCAGATTTTCTGCGTTATAAACAGAGACAAATTTATGTTATTTATCTAGAAATAGGAAGAGGAGGGAAACATATTTTCACTAAATGTTATTGAATAAGAGATAGAAAGAAAATCGAGTTACAAAACTATTAGTGATAAAATTTGTCAACAGTTTTTTATTGTTGTAATTTTTTGTTTCACTGTCAATTGTGATGATAAATTTATATTAAGTTTACGGCAAATTTCTTTTCCCTTTTTTTTTTGCTTGCAAATTAAATCCAACAAATTTTTTCTTAACCACTCAGCACTTGGGTCTAGCAGTCAGCCAAAATCCTGGATACCTAAAATTGCGAAAACTTCGCGCTGCGCAGACAATTTCACGCACGGTAATAAAACAAAAATTACTATATATAATCCTAATTTTATTCTGAGAAAATTTTATTTTTAAAAATTCGGAGAGAAAGTAAAATTAAATTTTATTTTTCGGAAACAAAATTTAATTTTTTTTTTATTTTTGTTAGGGTAAACTAGACAAATTATTAATAATAAAAACAAATTCTTCTCTTAGGTTTCGAATTCAGCGAATCGCGTTTATCTCAATGGCAGTTCATTGATGTTGAACATTCAGGATCCAGCGTTTGACGATCTTTCGGAGAAACTCAAAAGTAAGAAGTAAATAAAAAAAACTCATCGTGTAACGTAAAATGCATTTATTTCTATAAAAAACAAAAAATCAATTTCATGGTTAAAAAACAAAAGAAAAAGAAAGTCAAACAATTGACTTTTATTTTCCTTTAACTTTATTTCATTGTTAAATGTAGATTTTTCTCGTAATAAGAGTGTGGAGATCTTTATATAGTTAATTTTCTGAATAATTTTCTTTTCCCTCCCCCTTTATTTTTTTCCTATTCAAAAGGGGAATTCCGCCTGAAATATTTTTTTTCAAAATTATTTTTCTCTACGAATAAAAAAGGGCAAATAATTATCTTTTAATTTTCCTCTATGGAAAAAAAGCAGTAATTTTTTTGAGGAAAATTGTTAAAATTTACGGAAAATGAAAGAATTTCGAGAGATGAATAATTTTTCACGCGTTCAATTTTGTGAATCTCGAGATCGTTTTTCTTTCAGGTTCAGGGAGAAATATTAAGAAATTGAGGGAGAGAATGGAGATGGTTAATTCTAATATTGAAAAGCAGTTAAAGGATTACGATAAAGTTCTTTCTGAGGAATACGCTTCCCTTCTCATGGAATCGGCGGAACTCGGAGCCAAACAATTTGTATCCTGATTGAATAAATCCTCTCCTATTTTACATTTCAAAAGAAAAGGTTCCTCCGTTTCTTTCAGCCCAAAAAAAAGCTGAAGAAGTTTCCAATCTGTGTTCGATCGGTAAAGAAGGTAAAATGGTAAATTTGGCATCTACTTTACCGACTGTTCATAGATTCGAAACAAACGTGTGAAAAATTTAACTTCATGACCATAACGATCGTTAGCTATGAAAGTAGAAAAGATAAGAAAATTAACTACTTAGAAAAGTGGTTAATTTTAAAAAAATATAGTTCTACTTTACCGACAGTGGATAAAGTAGAAAGCAATATTTTTCTAAAAAAGACAATTTTGAAAAAAATCTAGTTCTACTTTACCGATAGTGGATAAAGTAGAAATCAATATTTTTTCGGGATCTAAAAGAAAAAACAAAATACTCTTTAAAATTTTATTTTGAAATACTTTTTTTTTGAGAATATAAAAAATGCGTTATGTACAGTCTATAAAATAATGAATGAGTTTTTCTTCTTCAATACATCATTCCTGGATGTGCCCTTTGGAAAAAGACGTTTGGATTGGTGGAAAGTGTGGTGTAGAGATTACCAACGTCCTCGGGCCTTAAATAAACACCGTGCGACATAACAAAAGGATCTCCGTTATGAACATCTGAAACAAAAAATTTTATTTAAATTTGGAATAAAATTACAAATAATAATTGCAGAAATTCAATTATTTTCAAAAGTTATAAAATTCTTCGCAGAAATTCAATAATTAAAATTTCACAGGAATTTAATTATATTTACAATTTTTTATAAATTTCTTCTCAATAATTCTATTATTTTCATAAATAAAATATTTTACTTGGATTCGATTATTTTTATAAATAATAAAACTCATTGTGAAATTTCAATTATTTTTAATAAAATTTTAATTTCAATTCTGTTGAAATCAGTTTAATTTTTTCAAAATTTTAACGCAATTCTTATAGAAAGAAATCAATTATCTTTATAAATATCAAAATTCTTCGCTGAAATTCAATTATTTTAAAGAATTTTAATAAAATTCTTGGCAAAATTTCAATTATTTTCAAAAATCTTCCTGAATTCAATGATTCTTTATATTTACTATTTTATAATTTTTTCCAAAAAAATTCAATTATTTAAAAACAATTCTAATAAACTTCTACGCAAACATTTAATTATTTTCATAAAAAATTAAAATTTCATAGAAATTCAATTATTTAGGTAACAATTTTTTTTTTATAAATTTCTTCACAATAATTCAATTATTTTCGTAAATAATACAATTTTTACAAGGATTCAATTATTTTCGTAAATAATAATAATTTTTTAGAAATTCAATTATTTTAATAATTAATAAAACTCATTGCAGAATTTCAATTATTTTTAATTCAATTTTAATCGAATTCCTCGAAAAATATAATTATACCTACTTGAAATTTTTTTTTAAATTTGTCAAAAGAATTCAATTATTTAAAAATTTCTTGATAAAATTCTTTGATGATCATTCAATTTTAATTTATTTTTGTATTTGAATAATTGAATTCTATAGTAGAATTTTTTTAATTTTTAGAAATAATTGAATTTTGAAAAGGTTTAAAATTCAATTATTTTCTACAATTTAATATTCTAATACAATTTTAATAAAATTTCTTGAAAAAATATACAATTATTTTTAAAAATATTAATTAAATTCGATTATTTTCAAGAATTTTGATATAAATTTAATTATTTTTAATAATTTTATGAAATTTCTTTTGAAAAATCATTATTTTCAAAATTTTTAATAAAATTCCTTCAAAAAATTAAATTATTTTTAAAATTTCAGATAAAATTCTTCGAAACAATTCAATTATTTTTATGAATTATAAAATCATCCGCAAGAATTTAATTATCAAGAATTTAATTAATTTCAATAATTGTAATAAAATTCTTTGCAAAAAGTCAGTTGATAAATTTAATACAATTTTAAATGATTTCTTTGAAAATTGAAAATAATTGAATTTTAAGAAGAATTTCTTTTAAGTTTTTAAAATTGTCATTTAAATACTGTTATTTTTTAAAGTAATTTTAATTGAAAATTTTGAAAATAATTGAAATTTACAAAGAATTTTATTAAAAACTTTTAAGAATAATTGAATGGTTTAGAAAAATTTTATTACAATTTTTGAAAATAATTGAACCTGTAAGAGAAATTTTATTAAAATTATCTTGAATATAATTGCATTTTTTTCTATAGAAATTTTACTAAAATTGAATCTGAAAATAATAGAATTTCTCAGAAGAATTTTAATATTCACAAAAATAATTGAATTCTTGACGAGAATTTTACAATTTATAAAATATTATATAGAAATATTTTTTTAAAAGAAATTTCATGAAAATTGTTAAAAATAATTGAATTTATATTAAAATTCTTGAAAATAATCGAATTTAATTAATATAATTCTATTGCAAATAATTGATTTCTTCTGAAAGATTTTATTATTTATAAAAATAATTGAATTAATTTGTAGAATTTTATTATTTATGAAAATATTTTAATTCTTAAAAAGAATTTTCTTATTAATAAAAATAATTAAATTCTTGCAAATGATTTTACAATTCATAAAAATAATTGAATTGTTTTGAAGAATTTTATCTGAAATTTTAAAAATAATTGAATTTTTTGAAGGAATTTTATTAAAAATTTTGAAAATAATGATTTTTTAAAAGAAATTTCATAAAATTGTTAAAAATAATTGAATTTATATTAAAATTCTTGAAAATATTCGAATTTAATTAATATTTTTTCAAGAAATTTTATTAAAATTGTATTAGAAAATTAAATTGTAGAAAATAATTGAATTTTAAACCTTTTCAAAATTCAATTATTTTCAAAAATTAAAAAAATTCTACTATAGAATTCAATTATTCAAATACAAAAATAAATTAAAATTGAATGATCACAAAGAATTTTATCAACAAATTTTTAAATAATTGAATTCTCTTGACAAATTTTTAAAAAATTTTCAAGTTTTTTTAAATTCTTAAAATGATTTATATTTTTTTAAATAATTGAATAAATTGTCGTAGAGTTTTCTAATAAAAATCTACTTAAAAATGAATTTCAGTTAAAATTTTAGATAATAATTGAATATTAAAATCAATATAGCTTGAATTTTTAGAAATAATTGAATTTTGAAAATTTTCAAAAAAAAAATTTTTTTTCATCTGTTGGGAAAATTATTAAAAATAATTGATTTAAAGAAGAATTTTAGTGAAAAATTCTATAAAATAATAATTGCATTAAAATGAAGAAAATAATTTTAAAGAAATACAATATTCTTATAATAAAATAATGATTTTATCACTTGGTTATTAATTATTATAAAATATGAAGAAACGATCACTCCGAGTCGATTTCTTCATGTTTTATGGTTATGAAAAAATTTAATTTATAGTTTTAAGTAAAATTTTCTCTTATTTGACTCGGACATGGTTTTATTTTTGTCAGTAATTGATAAAAATCCGTAATTTTTCATTTTTGGTCCGTAAAGTCTGTATTTTTTATTTTTTAAATATTTTCACTGTTTCGAGCCCTGCATCTACCTCTGCATTACCGACCGAACATAGACAGGAAACTCATAAAAAATTCTACTATTTCCATATTTACTTTCTATTCTATTTTTTAGAGACATTGATAAATTATTTTAAAAAATTATTTTTTTCCACTAATTTCGTCTTTGTAATTAAAGTAGAAATTAACAATTAGCATGTGAGAAAAAAATTATTTTCAATTTCTTCTTTTTTTCTTAATGTTTGTAGTGAAAGTTTTTTTTTCCTTCTCGTCCTTGAGAAGGAAAAAAAACAATAGAATTTGACCTATAAAATTTTGTACTTAATAAGGCGAATACAAATGAAAAATCGTGTAAACTAAATTATATTATTCGAAAACAAAGTATGGAAAAAAAGAGAACCATAAATTCAGAACTAAATCTTGATTATAATGTATAAAGGAGTTTATGGTTTGATGAACACGCGCGATGAATAAAATTTACAATTTAAATTCGTTTCTCTCTCAGCACCGAAAAAATAAAATGCAAGTTTACATTTTATTTTTTATTTTAAAACAATTTTTTTCATTTATTCAAGTTTTTGAAAAATTTATTTATTCCAAAAACAAAAAAACAAATTTTTTTTTCAAACATCAAATAGAAAAAAATAGTATGAATTTTCAAAACTGCTTAAAATTTTTATCTTTTTAAAAAAATTTGCCAAAGCTGTGAAATTTTTAAAGAAAAAGTTGATGAATTTTTTAGTAGAAAGTTGCAAAAGTTTTTTTCAATTCTTTTAAAGTGTGACAATTTTCGAATTAAAATGTTTGTGAGAAAAAAATTTTTTTTTAATATTCACCGTCAGAATAAATTGGACTGCTTCCATGTCTGCACGCGTTGCATCGAGGAAGACCGGAAGAAACCAATGCCACACGATCTGCAATAAAAGAGGAGTTCATTTGGTATTTATATTTTTTTTCCTCTTACACAATTCTATTCATTTATTATTTATTTATTACATTTTATTCTATTAAATTTTTCCATTTCATTTAAACAAACGTAAAATAATTTAATTTAATGTTTCATAAAGTATTTAAATAATTAAAATCATAATTTCAAAGTTTTAATAAAATTATTTACAGTTCATTTAGTTTAAAGTTGACACGAAAATTTAACTTTGTTTTTCCCTTCATCAAAATTATTTTCATCATTTCAATTCCATTATTATTTTCTAGAATTTTTAACTACAATTCTTCTATAAATCAATTATTATTTAAAGGAACGAAAAATTTAGATTTCCAAAGATTTGAATTTGAAACATTTTCAAAATTCAATTATTTTTAAAAATTCACTTATCATGCTTTTAATATTCAATTATCTAAAATTTTAACTGAAATTAATTTTTAAATCAATTTTTATTAGAAAATTCTACTAGAATTCAATTATTTGAATACAAAAATCAATAATTGAATGTTTCTTAAAACTGAATTTTTTTTACAAAGAATTTTATTAACAAATTTTTAAATAATCGAATTCTTGCTAAGAATTAAAATAATTTTTGAAAATAATTGAATTCCTGTGAAAATTTCATTAATTTTTAAAAATAACTGAATTCTTGCAAAGAATTTTATTTGTTTTTTTTTTTTAAATAATTGAATCTCTGCGAAAGATTTTATTCATTTTTGCAAATAATTGAATTTCTGCGAAGACTTTAATTAAAAGAATCGAAAATAATTTAATTCTTGGGAAGAATTTTATTAATATTTGAAACTAATTAAATTCCTGTAAAAAATTTTATTATTTTTAAAAAATAATTGAATTCCTTCGAATAGAATTTTATTATTTTTGGAAAATAATTAAATTATATTTAAATAATTGGAGAAATAATTAAAGTTTTGAATATAATTTTAGTTAAAGATTCTAAAAAGTTAAATTAGAATTTTTCTAAAAATCCGGAAAGAAATTCGAATTTTAATAAAATTTTTAAGAATAATTACATTTTCCGAGGAATTTGATTAAAATTTTATTAAAAATAATTGAAATTCTGCAATGAGTTTTACTATTTATGAAAGTAATTGAATTATTACGAAGAATTTTATAAAAAGTTTAAAACAATTGACTTTTTTTCGAAAAACTTTATGCAAATTCTATTTCTATTGTAATTGAAATTCTTTTTCTTTTAAATAAATGAATAATTTTTGAAAATAATTGAAATTTTGTCATGAATTTTATTCAAATTTTTAAAAATAATTGAATTTTTTTAATTTTGAAAATAATTGAATTTTCCTAATTTTGAAAATAATTGAATTTTCTTAATTTTGAAAATAATTGAATTTTGCAATTAATTTTGTTAAAATTCCTGAAAATAATTGAATTTTTTTGAAGAATTTTGCTATTCATTTATAAAGATATATCATTGAAATGTTGACGACAATTTTTTTTAGATTTTTTTTTTAAATAATTGAATTTCTGCGATGATTTTTATTTTATGAATTTTATTAATTTTGAAAATAATTGAATTTTATAAAAATTCCTGAATATAATTGAATTTCGTCGAAGAATTTTGCTGTTTATAAAGATAATTGAAATGTTGACGAGAATTTTTTAATAAATTTTTGAAATAACTTAAATGAATTTCTGAAAAGAATTTTAAAGTTTATTTTATTATTATTCAAAAAAATTGAATTCTTGTGATAAATTTTGATATTTTATGAAAATAATTGAATTTTGCAAAAGAATTTTATTAAAATTCCTTAAAATAATTGATTTTATGGGGAGAATTTTGTTGTTTAACAAGATAATTAAATTCTTTTGCAGAACGAACTTATTATTAAAAATATTTAAAATTCTGCCATGAAAATAATTGAACTCCTAAATGAAATTTTATTATTTATGAAAATAATTGAATGTTTTCGTGGAATTTTATTAAAAAAATGTTTTCAATAATTAAATTTTTTGATAAATTTTATGAAAATAGTAAATATTTAAAATCATTGAACTATGAAAAACTTTTGAAAATAATTGAAATTTTGCAAAGAATTTTATTTAAATTTTTGAAAATTTTTAACGAAAAATTGAGTGCTTGGATACAACAAGGGGACGTACGCTCGGCGAGCCGCTTTAAAGTCAGTCAAAGGTACCGTAAAGTGTAAAAAATGAAAATTCAAAATTTTGAATTTTGAAAACTGCCATCTTATAGGAAATAAAAATGCGCATCTTTTTTTTCTTTGAAATTTCTTTGAATAATTAATATTTTTATATGATAATGGAAAAAATGTGATTAATTTTCAATGTTAAATTTCATTGAATTTTAAAATATAAATCGTCGTATCTCCGACAAAAATGAATGAATTCTTTTGATTTTTGGTATACAAATGCATTTGGACCTATAGAAGACGACAATATCACGAAAATGTTAAAAGCAATTAATTGTTTATTGATTTTTAATTGTTAATACTGACCGGTCAAAAATAATTTTTTCTTATCTTTGGCTGCAAAAAGTATGCGGGGAACTTTAAAATTCAAACAACTTCCAGTGAGACATTTGTTTATTACGATGTGAAGAAGTTTTCTGTAAAATTGCAGAAAGATTAGTTTTATATTTACAGAAATACAATAGTTTTAAGAAAAATGCTCGCGCCGCCAACGATCCCTACCGCACAGATTTTAAGGTTAGTTGCACGGTAAAGTTTTATTTATGTATAAATATATGTGTGTAATATTTGCATTGAATTATTTATTAACTATTACATACTATACAACATAGGTATACACTTTTTTAATAATTTTGTAAAATATTATGTGTATGAATAAAAATATTACAAATAATTCTAGCAATATTTAATTAAATTAAGATTATTTCTGATATTTATTTTTGTTAGTATATCGTTTATTTACAACTCAATTTTTATCGACTCTATAATGTATTAAAACTATTACTCAATATGCTGCAACAAAACTTAATGTCCTTTTTAATTACATACTATGTTGAATCTAGTATAATCTAATAATATCTATTAAAATATAATAGTTCAAAATATCACAATTGTCAAAAATTGTTTAAAATAAAAATTTTTCCTAGTTTTTAAACAATAATATTAACATCTAAAAACGTTTTATAAATTTAATAATGTTTAAAATAAAAACATTTCTTTTAACACATATATTAATCTTAATTTAATTAAATACTGCTAGAATTATTTGTAATATTTATATTCATACACATAATATTTTACAAAATTATTAAAAAAGTGTATACCTATGTTGTATAGTATGTAATAGTTAATAAATAATTCAATGCAAATATTACACACATATATTTATACATAAATAAAACTTTACCGTGCAACTAACCTTAAAATCTGTGCGGTAGGGATCGTTGGCGGCGCGAGCATTTTTCTTAAAACTATTGTATTTCTGTAAATATAAAACTAATCTTTCTGCAATTTTACAGAAAACTTCTTCACATCGTAATAAACAAATGTCTCACTGGAAGTTGTTTGAATTTTAAAGTTCCCCGCATACTTTTTGCAGCCAAAGATAAGAAAAAATTATTTTTGACCGGTCAGTATTAACAATTAAAAATCAATAAACAATTAATTGCTTTTAACATTTTCGTGATATTGTCGTCTTCTATAGGTCCAAATGCATTTGTATACCAAAAATCAAAAGAATTCATTCATTTTTGTCGGAGATACGACGATTTATATTTTAAAATTCAATGAAATTTAACATTGAAAATTAATCACATTTTTTCCATTATCATATAAAAATATTAATTATTCAAAGAAATTTCAAAGAAAAAAAAGATGCGCATTTTTATTTCCTATAAGATGGCAGTTTTCAAAATTCAAAATTTTGAATTTTCATTTTTTACACTTTACGGTACCTTTGACTGACTTTAAAGCGGCTCGCCGAGCGTACGTCCCCTTGTTGTATCCAAGCACTCAATTTTGAATTCTTGACGAGATATTCGTTAAAATTTGTAGAAATAATTGAATTTCTTTAAAAAATTTTATTACTTTTGAAAATAATTGAATTCTTGTGATGAATATTGTTATCTATATAAAAAATAATTGAATTTTGCAAAGATTTTTTTTTAAATTCCTAAAAATAATTGAATCTTTGTGGAGAATTTTGTTATTTATCAAGATAATTGCATTCTAACTTTTAAAATAATTAAATATGATATTAAAAAATTCATTTTGGTTAAAAAAAAATTTTCGATGGTTTTGTATTAGAATTCGTGTTAGTTTAGCTAAATAATTAATTATTATTATTAAGTTAATTATTTAATTATTATTATAATTTTTATTATTATTATTATAATTTTTGATGAATTAGCGCTTAAGAATAAAGGCGGAATTTCCGGTGTTTTCCCGCTAGAAGAGAAAATCAAAGAGAGTCGACCTTGCGTGAATTGCGAGAGAAAATCTCTAAGATTAAAGAGTGCCACTTTTCACTAATAACTCACAAGTAATATACGACTGCAATTATAATTTCATATATAATTACCATCTTTAAATATTTCGTACTATATTTTAACAAAATTTATATTTTTCAAACTAATAAAATAAATGATTAAATAATAAATAATAATAATTATAATATTCATAATAATTATTGCAGCATCAAAAAATATTAATTAGCAAAATAATAGTTATAATAAAGATTAAAAATAAATAAATAATAAAATTATTATATAAAATTATAATTATAGGTATAATATAAAATTATAATTATAATAATAAATAATAAATAATAAATAATAAATAAAAAATAAAAATATTTTAAATAAAATATAATATAACTTTTAAGTTGTGCGTGAATTTTAACAAGCGATTAATCGCCGCCGATTGATTAGGAAGATAACGAAAAAAAACGAAACAGAACTATTTTGAATCATTAAAATGTTCGCAGAAGCGGAAATTAATAATTAGAGTCAAATACCAAATATTTTTTTTTGTTTCCCATATTATTTAAAATAAAGCAACCTTGAAATGTTAAATCTTCAATTTACATATTATACAGTTTAAATAAATATATTATATTTAAATTAGAAGGAGAGCTTTCGTTAGAATTTCAAATTTTATAGAATTTCGTACACGGAAAAAAAAAGTTCGAAGATTATTCGGGAACTTCGTTCTTTACTCTTGGATACGGCGGGTAGTTCACAGAGAACTAAAGGTTGCCTCGTTTAAATATGTCATTTACTATTTCTCTACAAATTATAACTATTTCACCACTTCTCGGCAAACTGTTCTTGAAAAAGTCGGGAACTGTTCAAGAAAATCGAAAAGTTAGGCAAATGCAAGAAAAAATGGATTCTGCTTCCCCCCTCCCACTTCCCCTCCTTGACACTTCCGCACACACACACACACACATTTATCCTTGAAGATCACATACAATTTTTATTTTTTATTAAGTTTCTGAAATAGAAAAAACCATATGAGAGAAAAATCGACGGCGGCTGGAACAGAACTCGCGTACCCGAGGAATAGAAGTCCGGCGTCTTATCCACGTGAGCTAAACAGGAGCGTTAAATACCTCAGCATAAAATAAATATATAAGGCACGCAAGTCTTACTGACGTTGAGACTGGTGCGCACAGTTTCTGCGCACCAAGATTCCTTGACGAGTTCCCGAAAATTTCAGAAACAGTTGCGGCCAGTGCCATGGACTTTACATGAGAAAGAAATGAAAAAAAGATTATTGGACTATTTACAGCGTTTTCTAATACAGTTCCCGAATTTCTTTCAAACATTCATTGATTACCATTGAATGTTCGACGCTAGTTCAGAGCTGTTACCACGTATCCAAGAGTTAGGAAATAATTCCTGAAATATCTGGGAACTTTTTTTTTCCGTGTAAGTGAATTGAGTAACTCATTAGTAACGCTTCTCTAATTGTCTGTAATTGTTACGATTAGCTTTCTAGGTGCAATTCATAAATTAATGACGTAAATAGAAAAACAAATTATTTATAAACATTAAATAATTATTTGTAAATAAATTTCACCGCAAAAAAAAATTTTTTAATACGAAAATTAAAAGTACTATGAAAAAAGTTAAATGTTTAGAATTTATAAGAAAATTCTGAATTATTGTGTCTTTTTATTTGCCTCATAAACTATGAAATTAACACGAATTTTAAAAATAACATACATTTTTTTTCTATTTCTGACAATAATTTATTTTAAATAACTTAATTCTATTGAAGAACTGCAATAAACTTATTATTTATAAATCATTTAATGAAGACAAGAATTCAATTATTTTCGAAATTAATAAAATTCATAAAATAAAAATTATCGCAGAAATTCAATTATTTACCAAAAAAAAAAATCTAAAAAAAATTGTCGTCAACATTTCATTATATATCTTTATAAATGAATAGCAAAATTCTTCGACAAAATTCAATTATTTTCGTTAATTTAATTATTTAATGAAGTATTCATCACAAGAATTCAATTATTTTCAAAATTAGGAAAATTTTAAGAAAATTCAATTATTTTCAAAATTAGGAAAATTCAATTATTTTCAAAATTAGAAAAATTCAATTATTTTCAAAATCAAGAAAATTCAATTATTTTCAAAATTAGAAAAATTCAATTATTTTCAAAATCAAGAAAATTCAATTATTTTCAAAATTAGAAAAATTCAACTATTTTCAAAATTAAAAAAAATTCAATTATTTTCAAAAATTTGAATAAAATTCATGACAAAATTTAAATTATTTTCAAAAATATTTCTTAATTCAATGATTTTTAATATTCTACTAAATTTTTAATAAAATATTCCCAAAAAATTCAATTGTTCAGTTATTTAAAAAAAAAATTTTACAGGATTTCAATATTATATTAGAAATAGAATTTGCATAAATTTTTTCGAAAAAAGTCAATTGTTTTTTTTTAAAAACTTTAAACTTTTTATAAAATTCTTCGCTATAATTCAATTACTTTCATAAATAGTAAAAACTCATTGCAGAATTTCAACTATTTTTAATAAAATTTTAATCAAATTCCTCGAGAAATGTAATTGTTCTTAAAAATTTTATTAAAATTCGAATTTCTTTCCGGATTTTTAGAAAAATTCTTATTTAACTTTTCAGAATCTTTAACTAAAATTATATTCAAAACTTTAATTATTTCTCCAATTATTTCAATATAATTAAATTATTTTCCAAAAATTTCTTCCAAGGAATTCAATTATTTTTTAAAAATAATAAAATTTTTTACAGGAATTCAATTAGTTTCAAATATTAATAAAATTCTTCCTAAGAATTAAATTATTTTCATAACTTTTAATTAAAGTCTTCGCAGAAATTTAATTATTTGCAAAAATGAATAAAATCCTTTGCAGAAATTCAATTAAAAAAAACAATAAAATTCTTTAAAGGAATTCAGTTATTTTTAAAAATTAATAAAATTTTCACAGGAATTAAATTATTTTTAAAAATTATTTTAATTCTTAGTAAGAATTCAATTATTTAATTAATTATCTATGTTTGTATTTAAAATAATTGAATTCTCGTATAATTTTCTAATAAAAAGTGATTTAAAGTTAATTTCAGTTAAAATTTTAGATAATAATTGAATTTTGGAGATGTTACTAATAATTTCAATTTTTAGAAATTTTGAAAATCTTAGTTCCCATGAAAAAATAATGTTTAAATATTTATTTAAAAGTAAAGTTATTGGTGTTTTTGAATAATTTTACAATTAAGGAAATTCATAAATAAAAGTAGTAGCCAATTTTTTTGAGTATTTAATAATTTTTAGAGTGAGTTGAAATATTCTTTAGGGTTCGGGAAAAAGTCAAAATTTTGTTTGGAAATCAGGGAAAAATCAGGAAAAAACAAAATTTATTTTTTGTGACAACCCTGACAGTGAAAATTGAAAAATTTTATCCGATTTTATCAAAATTAAAAAATATAAACGGTAAGAATTCCTGAAGTGGGCCCCTATTTTTCATTGGGTCGGTGGATTTTTTTCATTCTTATATGTTTCGATAGCCTATGATGGCATAATAAAAACTTGTAAATAGTTTTCCGAAATTCGAATATTTGCCAAAGTTATTCAAGGTCAAAGTTATTTGTAGCGTTTTAGTAAATAGCTAATTACTCGCGATCGGATGAACCGATTTTAATAAAAATTGGAGGAGAGTTTACCTAAAGAATTGTACTTTAGATAAATGATCAAAATTTTAATTAAAAAATATAATTTGTTTAAATAAATTAACTTTTTAATTTTTGGGGTTAAAAAAAAATTGTTCTCCATCTTTTTTTTGGATTTTTTTTTAATAATCAAATAGAGAATACTTTTAAGATTTTATTTTAACAATAAAAAAGTGGGATTCTCTATCACTTTAGAAAATATAATATTTTTAGTTACAAATTTTTTTGAAAAGTTAAAGAAATTTGAAGCAAAACAAATGAATGAACTAAACTCGACAATTTTAACCAACCAAGTTTAGTTCATTCATTTGTTTTGCTTCAAATTTCTTTAACTTTTCAAAAAATTTTGTAACTAAAAATATTATATTTTCTAAAGTGATAGAGAATCCCACTTTTTTATTGTTGAAATAAAATCTTAAAAGTATTCTCTATTTGATTATTAAAAAAAAATCCAAAAAAATGATGGAGAACAATTTTTTTTAACCCCAAAAATTAAAAAGTTAATTTATTTAAACAAATTATATTTTTTAATTAAAATTTTGATCATTTATCTAAAGTACAATTCTTTAGGTAAACTCTCCTCCAATTTTTATTAAAATCGGTTCATCCGATCGCGAGTAATTAGCTATTTACTGAAACGCTACAAATAACTTTGACCTTGAATAACTTTGGCAAATATTCGAATTTCGGAAAACTAATTACAAGTTTTTATTATGCCATCATAGGCTATCGAAACATATAAGAATGAGAAAAATCCACCGATGACCCAATGAAAAATAGGGGCCCACTTCAGGAATTCTTACCCTAAAGTGAAGAGCTCTACTTTATCGACCCTATGGTCGATAACATACTATTACCAACCGAGTAACAGGGGAGTTTTTTCACGGTTGGGGGATGCCAAAGTAGATACGATTTTAACTATAGTTAAAAAATCCTAAAAAGAAAATTACTAAAAATCGAGATAAAAATAAAAAAAAAGAAGTAAAAACTTACCAGTACTGTGATAATCAACTTTTCGCTTTAAACTCGTATCAGCGGGTTTAAAATGAAAAAAAGATGGCGAATATCCACTGCCTGGCAGTGAACTGCAACTCAATTGTTCCTCACGATCACGCATTGCGGCAGTGATAGCTGCGGAATTTTCTTTACCAAGTGCCGCTAATTGACGTCCCTTTGGCAGAAACATTGTCAAAAAGACAAGGAAGGATGTCGATAATAATCCAAATGCGACCCATGCTTCTCTCACGTCCTCAGGGGCAGTGAGTGCACCAATTGCTGTTGCTATCCATGTCGGTAATGAGAGTCCAACCGCAAGGCCAATAAACGCCGCCTCCCTATGATTATCGCGTACACCTCGAGCTCTTACCGCTAAACACGTTACGGCAACGAGTAACGTGCTTGGATATCTAGAATTATTTCAATTTTTTGCATAAAATAGAAGAAGAAAATATAGATAAAAAAGTCACATTACCGACTGTAGATAATACAGTTTTCTTTATTACCAACAGTAGGTAACAAAGATTTTGACTTTGCCAGCAGTCGGTAATGCAGTTGACTTCGAATGATGCGTAGATTGAATTATAGAACTGAAAAGTTTAACTTTGTAGAGTCTATTATTGACTAGTTTCCCGTATTACCGACCAATAGTAATACAATCGGCTGTATTATCCACGACTAGATTACTACATTTTATTAGATTTTTTTTAGATTATTACATTTTCGACTGTTGATAATACACTTTTCTGTATTACCGACTACTAATAGTACAGTTTTCTCTATTTCCGACTATTAATAATACACTTTTCTTTAATGTCCACAATAGGGAAACAAAAAACTTCGATAATGTAATTTTCTGTATTACCAACAGTAAATAATGCAATTATCTGTATTATCGACTGCAAATAATAAATTTTTTTTACTAACGACTGCGAATTGAATTACTTACCCAAGAGAGGCGAGTGTATGGCTGACGGGAGTCTTGCACGCGCTTCCAAATGAGGCACGATTTGCGCTTTGATTTGAAATAACAGCTGGTGGTTCACCATAGAACCATTGTGCATTTATTGCTACTTGCACCAGAACCGCAAATATCAGCACTAATGCCTGTAGAAATAATAAATTTTGTTTCTCTCACAAGTTGTTTTAACATAAATAATTGAAAATGGTATAAAAATTGTATTTTTTCTTTAAAGTATTTTTTTACCGACTGTAGGTAGATTAGTAAACAATTTTATCTACAGTCGGTAAGATGCACTTAGGACTTGGAAACATAGGGGGAGTAATAGTAAAATGTGCAGCATTTCGTGATCGGTTCGTTGCTTAAAAGAAATATTACAGACTGTAGGTAAACTAGTAAACTATTTAATCTGCAGTCGGGAAAATGTATTGTAAAGACTTTATTATTCAGTCGGCTAAAAATCGGTAATGTAAAAGTTAGACAGCTCTAAAGTGGCTGAAAATAAATGCCAAATGTTAAATATACCTTATACCGACTGTAGGCAAAGTTGTATACTACTTTACCTTCAGTCGGTAAATACATTTAGTGGTTTTATTATCTAATCAAGTGCAAATGTAAGGCATATGGACGGCTTCTAATCAACTTCAAAATTAATGTGAAAAACAGAAGCTACAAGCTACTTCATGCCGTTTGTGGGTAAACTTGGAAACTATTTTATCTACAGTCGGCAAAATCATTTTAAAAGGATTTATTATAAAATTAGATGAAAAGAAACGGCCCTTAAGCATCTGTAAAGTAAATGCCAAATGTTAAATCTACTTTATACTGACTGTAGGTAAGGTTGTATACCACTTTACCTTCAGTCGTTAAATTGATTTGAAAGGATCTAATCAAGTTAAAAAAAACTTAACGTAACGAACGCCGCCCATTAGGTTTAAAATTAATGCCAAAAATAAAAGCTACTTCAAACTGACTGTGGGTAAACTTGTAAACTATTTTACCTACAGTCGGCAAAATTATCTTAAAATGATTTATTAAAAAATTAGGTAAAAACGAAAAGGCACCTAAGTATCTATAAGATTAGTGCTAAAAGTAAATTTAGTTTTTACCGACTGCAGGCAAACTTGAAAACTATTTTACCGACATTCGGCAAAATGCAATTAGAAAACTTTATTATGAAACAATGTAAAAATAGCGCAGTGCGATATAATAACTTCAAAGAAATGATAAATGTAGCTGCAATAAAATATTTTTTTCCAATAAAATTTACCGACTGTAGACAATATAATTCATTGAATTACCTTCAATCGGTAATAAAAAAATATAGAAAAAAATAAAATTTCTACTAAATACGATTATAAAAGTACATTATATCTTTATACATGTTTACATATATATATTTCTATGTTTCTGTGTCTGATGATAATCTTTACAGGAATTCCTGTATTTTTATGCTAAAATTGAGATGCTTGAAATAATTGTTTTCACAGAATTATTATTATAATAGAATTTTGACCTCAACGTTGCGTTTCTTTCTTATTTTTTTTTTCTCCATGATAGTGAAAGCATCTCTCATAGAAACTTTTGAGAAAAATTCATAAATAGAATTGAAAAAAAACAAAACAATAATAATATATACAAGTTGAAATGAATTATTTAAGATCTCATATCAAATATTACCCACGGAAATTTATATTTGTAAAAAGAATGAATGAAAGGAACTCTCGATTTTCATTATAATTTTTTTTTCATTGTTTTCTCTTTTGACAAGAAAAAAAAATGTTTACATAGAAATAATGCAGGTATAATTAAAAAAATAATTTTTATTAATTGTTCTTAATGAATAAAATAATTATTTTTTATTTCTAATAAATGAGGAACAGTAATTTTTTTATTTTCAATGAATAAAAAAATTTATTATTTTTGATTAATTAAAAAGTTGATATATTATTTTTAATGGATAAAAAAAAATATTTATTTATTATTTTCAATTAATAAACAAATTTATTTATTATTATTCTTAATTAATAAAAATGTGTATTTATTATTGTTAATTAATAAAAATGTTTGTTTATAATTGTTAATTAATAAAAATGTTTGTTTATTATTTTTAATAAATAAATATAATCATTTATTATTTTTCATAAAATAAATAGCAGAATTTAATAAATAATTAAAAAATTATTTATTTATTAGATTTAATTAATAAAAAAATTTTATTTATTATTTTGAATCAATCAAAAATTATTTATTACTTTCAATAATAATTTACATTATTTTAATTATTTTGGGTGGTTCCACAACTGGATTAATATTGCAATAAGTAATTTAATATCAATTAGGGTGGTTTCACAACAGGATTAACATTTTTAATAATAAATATAATAATTTGTAAAATTATTAATAATAAATATAATAATTATTTTTTATTTTGAATAAATAAAAAAAAATTTTTTAATATTATTTTTAACAATACCTGGGACATTAATTTTTTTTCTACTTTTTTCTGTTTAAAAATAAAAATTTAAAAAGAATGAAAAATAAAAAATTACCTGATAAGGTGCTGGTAGATAAACGCCGCTATTGAGTGAAAGTAAAAAAACACATTTGACGAGAAGAGCAGCAAAAACAAGTGCTGCTGGTAGTCCAACGAGTCTGAATGCGGTGCAGGATAAAAGATTCGGTGTGATGGATGCTGCAGCAGATAAGCCCGCCAAGAAAAAAAGACCCAATAAAAGGGCTTGGCCTAAGAATAAATGTCGTCTGCTTGGTGCTGTGGTCCTTGCCTTCAAATAAAAAATAATTTCGTAATATTTTTTCCAAAATTTTTTATTTTTTTGTTAATAGAAAAAACATGAAAAAAAAAGTTTCTGTGGTTATTTTAAGGTGTTTTCACAAGTGTAGAATATTTATGTTAAAAAAAAGTAATTATATAACCTAAAAATACATAACAAAAAATAACCTTAAAGTTTTGATTATTTAGGGTGGTTCCACAATGGGATTTTTATTGAAGAAAGGCAAACTTAAACTCAAAATACAAGTTATGGTGGTTCCACAATGGGATTTTTATTGATAAAAGACAAACTTAACCTTAAAATTCAACTCATGGTGGTTCCACAATGGAATTTATGTTATCAAAAGCGAACGTAACCTCAAACTTAAAAATTTAGGGTGTTTCCACAATGGAATTAATTTTTGTCAAAAGACGAAACTAATCTCAAATTGCAGATGAAAAAGAGGGACATAGCCTAGAAATTTTTTATTTATGGTGATTTCACAATGGAATTAATTTTTGTCAAAAGGCGAAACTAATCTCAAAGTGTAAGTGAAAAAAAGAAACATATCCTGGAAATATTATTTAATTTATGGTGGTTCCACAATGGAATTACTATTAACAAAAGCGAACCTAACCTTAAACGTAATCATTTATGGTGCTTCCACAATAAACTTAATTTTATGAAAAGGTAAAATTTTAAATTGCAGGTAAAAAAATAAATGTAACCGTCAAAATTTGTATAATTTACAGTGGTTCCACAATGGAATTAATGTTATCAACAGCGAACGTAACCTCAAAATATGAATTAATAAGGAAAACATCAGTACAATTTTTATTTAGATATTTGCCTAATAAAATAATTATTCAGGGTGGTTCCACAATGTGATTAATTAATTAATTAATATTGTCAAACGGCGAAGGGGAAAGTAACCCTAAAATTATTATTTAGGGTGATTCCACAATGGGGTTAATAGTTCCAAAAGTAATTTAGTATCATTTTGGGTTATTCCACAACCGTATTCATATTTTCAAAAGTAATTTAGTATCATTTAGGGTGGTTCCACAATGGTATTAAAATTGACAAAAGTTAATTTAATTATATTTAGGGTGGTTTCACAATGGGATTAACATTTTCAATAATAAATTTAATATCATTTATGGTGTTTCCACAACGGAATTAATAGTTCCAAAAGTAATTTAGTATCACTTAGGGTGGTTCCACAACGGTATTAAAATTGACAAAACCTAATTTAATGTTATTTAGGGTAGTTTCACAACGGGATTAATATTTTCAAAAGTAATTTAGTATCATTTAGGGAGGTTCCACAACGGGATTAACATTGACAAAAGTTAATTTAATATCATTTAGGGTGGTTCCACAACGAGAAAATATTTCCAAAAGTCATTTAATTTAGGATAGTTTCACAATTGAATTAGTGTTACCAAAATAATAGTGATAATAACCAATGACATTTAAAATGTTCGGGTCTCTCAAATTCTAACTAATTTAGGGTAATTTTACAATGGTATTATTATTTTAAAAAGCATCTACATTAATTTTTTTACTTTTTACTACCTTAATACATTTATTCAATAATAATACATATTATCAAATTTCATTGCTCTAAAACTATATGTAATTAAATAAAAAAGTCTTTAAAAAAATTTTTTTTTATTCCTTTTAAATATAATTCTTAAATTACATTTATTTTTCTTTACTTTTTTTCTTTTAATAATATATCTATAGAGAAATTGATGAAGCGAAAAATGATTATTATCATTATTATTGTATTTGAGACACTGCGCAATTAGGGATGAGTTAACGAGTGATTGAAGCGGAAACTAGGCCTGCCTTCTCTCTCTCTCTCTCTCTCTCTCTCTCTCTCTCTCTCTCTCTCTCTCTCGCTCTCTTCCCTAAAGTACATGAGATAATCGGGAAGTCGTGAAATGATCCGAGCCACGATACAAAATATAAAAATTATTGGAGCTTAACCGAGAAACGAAATGAAAATAAATTTTGCATTGAGACTGGGGCAGATAATCATTTGCGCGCGTCGTTTCTTTTAGCTCTATTAATTCCCGTGTGGACTCTGTATAGTGTGCGAGGCTGGTATTTTAAATTGCTATTACTGTCTAATTACTCTCACGGTGACTTGCGTTAATCGCTTTTTTTTTTCTTATTTAGGCGAATATTTTGTCACTTCCTTCTTTCTTTTTATAAAAATCAACTACCCCCCATCCTCCTCATCTTTAATATTAAAAAAATTACTTTATTTATGAAAAAAATTAATTAATTTAAAAAAATTATTTGTATTAAAATGTTTAAAAGATTTATATTTATTTCTTATATTAATATTCTAATATTAACTAATATTAATATAAATATTATTATTATTAACTAATGTTAATATAAATAACATTAACATTATTGGAGTATTTTTAAAATATTGGCGGAATATAACTAAAAAAAATTTTTTTGTGACAATGCATTTAATGCTTTTTTTAATATTTCATAGATATTCCTGTATCTCTAAATTACTATATTTTTAAAAATATTACTAAATATTTCTTAATATTCCTAAAATTTTACAAAAAGTTTGAAAAATATTTCAAAATATTTCTGAAATATTACAAAATGTTTCTAAAATATTACACTTTTTAAACAGTTTAAAATATTAAAAAATATTTCAAAGTATTTCTAAAACATTATAAAGTATTCCTAAAATATTACTAAAATATTTCAAAGTATTCCCAAAATATTACACAATATATCAAGATATTCCTAAAATATTACAAAATATTTTGAAGTATTCCCAAAATATTACACAATATATCAAGATATTCCTAAAATATTTCAAAATATTACCCAATATTTTGAGATATTCCTAAAATATTACAAAAATATTTTAAAGTATTCCAATATATTACACAATGTTTCAAGATACTCCTATAATATTACAAAATATTTCAAAGTATTCCTAAAATATTACAAAGTATTCCAAAAATATTACCCAATATTTTGAGATATTCCTAAAATATTACAAAAATATTTCTAAGTATTCCAATATAGGTATTACACAACATTTCAAGATATTCCTGAAATATTACAAACTATTTCAAAGTATTCCCAAAATATTACTTAATATTTCATGATATTCCTAAAATATTACAAAAATATTTCAAGGTATTCCTAAAATATAACAAAATATTTCTTGAATATTTATAAAATGTTACAAAAATATTTCAAAGTCTTCCTAAAGTATTTTCGTAGTATTTGAAAATTATTACAAAAATATTTCAGAAATAATAATATTATTCAATAATATTATGAAAAATATTTCTCAGAATATTAAAATTTTTTTATGCATCCCACAAATATTAGTTACACAATCGGATAAACTATTAATATTTACAAAGAGAAAAAAAGTTCATTTTGTCATTTGTCATTACAAAAAAAAAGAAAAAAAAATAAGGAACCTGTATTCGGTCTATTAAAGATGACGTTTAATTAAAATATAAATTTAAAATGAAAGCTGCTTGCTTTTAATTTTTCTCTAAAATGAAAATTCGTTTCTATTTCCGTGATATTTTAATTTCGTTTAGATTCGAAAGTTACTTTATTAGTTTTATACAAAACAGGTTACAGAATTAGTTAATTGACGTAATTAGAGAGACAGAGAGAGAAAGAGAAAAAGAGAAGGAGCAAAAAGAAAGAGAGGGGGTGGGAATTATTTTAATTTAAATTTTTTATTTATCTTTCAATATTTGGACCATTGTAATTATACAAAAAATATTTGGAATATTCCTATAGACTATTTATAGAGTATTAAAATACTCCTGGAGAAAATTTGGAATATCTGTAGTATTGAATTATAAGATTGTTTTTATGGAATTTTTAGCATTTTGAATATTCCTATAGAATATTTGGAATGCTCAAAATATTACTATAAAATATTAAAAATATTCCTACGAAATAATCAAAAGATTAGGAACATTCCTATTGAATATTTTAAATATTTTAATAGTTCTATGAATTATTTAGAATATTGAAAATATATATATTTGAAATATTATGAATATTCCAATGAATTAATTGTAATATCCGGAATATTCTTATGCAAAATATTCCTATAGGAATATTTTTAATATGAAATATTAGAAATATTTCTAAATACTATGAATATTCCTTTTTGTAAGTTAAATATGAAAAATTATCAATATTCCAAAGGAATATTTTAAATAATAGAATATTCTTAAGAAATAGATATTATTGATATTTCTATGATTTTATAAGAATATTGGAAATATTCATGTAGAATATTCAAGAATATTTACAAAAATTAATATTTAAATATTCATTAAATATTCCTATTTAAATATTAATGTTGGAATATTGGAAATATTTATGATATTATCTGAAATATTTGACATATTTAGAATATTTTTGATATTCTTTCGAAATATTTGTAATATTTGGAATTTCCTCTGGAATATATTGGAGAATTTAAGATATTTAGGATATTATTTTGGAATATTTGTAATATTCTGTGAAATATTTGTAATATTTTGTATATTCCTCTGAAATATTTTTGAAATTTTAGATTATTTATGATATTTAGAATATTTTTCTGGAATATTTTTTATAATAGGTCATTTCTTTGCAATATTTAAAATATTTCTCATATTCTTGTGGAATATTTTACCTATACAATCATTTGATATATTTTTATGGCTATTCCTCTTGAATGTTGGAAATATTTTTTTTATAATTCTCTGGAATATTTCATGTATTTAGTACATTCCTTTGGAATATTTGGAACATATTTGATATTCTTTTGAAATATTTGTAATATTTTGGATATTCCTCTATAATATTCTATAGTTTAATATTTGGAATATATATCATACTCCTCCAGAATATTTAGAATATTTTTGATATTCTTTGAAATATTTGTAATATTTTAAACATTACTCTGAAATATATGGGACATTTGAATATTTTTATGGAATTGTTTTATTATTAACGATATTCGTCATGAATATATTTGGAGTATTTATTATATCTTGATTATTTGGGATATTGAGGTAATTTTCTTTTGGTAATATTAGAAAGCTTAAGATATTCCTCTGGAATATTTGAAATATATTGTTCATTTCCCTCTGGAATATTTTTGATACACGGGATATTTTTCGGAATATTTAAAGCATAATGTAGGATATTCCTCAAGTATAATATTTCGAATATTAATTAGGATATTTTGGAATATTTAGCATATAATCTTTTGAAATATGTGTGAATTTTGGAATATTTGCGATATTCAGAATATTTTTATGAATTATTTGAAACATTAGGACATTCTTTTAGAATATTTAAATTATTTCTCATACTCCTGTGGAATATTTAGAAAATTCTGAATATTTCTTAGTAATATTTAAAGAAAATAAGATATTCCTTTGGAATATTGGAATATGTGGGATAATTGTCTGGAATATTTATAGTATTTATGATATTCTTTTGGAATATTTTTAGCATCTTAATATTTGAAATATTTATCATATTCGTCTTGATTATTTGGAATATTTAGATAATTTTGTTAATCTTAGAAAAGTTCAGATATTCCTTTGAAATATTTAAAATATTGCTTTTGTATTCCTCTGGAATATTTTGAATATCAATGTTATTTCTTTAGAGTATTTGAATTATTTGAGATATTTTGTACAGTTCTCTGTAATATTTGAAGTATTTATTATATTCTCCTGGAATATTTGGAATATTTATGATATTCTTTTGATATATTTCTAATATTTTGGATATTCCTCCGAAATAGTTGGAAAATTTTTGATTATTTGGGATATATTCTGAAATATTTAGGATATTGGGACATTCCTCTGGAATATTTAATAATAGTATTTCTCATACTCCTTTTGAAGATTTTGGGTATTTCTTCGGAATATTTGAAGTATTATGTTTAACCCTATGGAATGTTGAGGACATTTTCGATGATTCTGTGGAATATTTGATTGTTTTTGTATATTTCTTTGGAATATTTATGCAGTTCTTCTGAAATATTTGTAATATTTAGGATATTTCGCTGTAATATTTAAGATATTTCCATGTAATATTTAGGATATTTCGGACATTCCACAGTAATATTTAAGATATTTCCATGTAATATTTAGAATATTCTCATGTAATATTAAGGATATTTCCATGTAATATTTAGGATATTTAGAATATTCCACAGTAATATTTAGGAAATTTGGGATATTTCACAGTAATGTTTAGGATATTCTCAAGTCATATTTAGGATTTTTTGATATTACAAAGTAGTGTTTAGGATATTTCGCTGTAATATTTAAGATATTTCCATGTAATATTTAGGATATTTGTGACATTCCACAGTAATATTTAGGATATTCCCATATAACATTTAGGATATTCCTATGTAATATTTAAGATTTTAGGATATTCTAAAGTAATATTAAGATATTCCCATGTAATTTTTAGGATATTTAGAATATTCCATAGTAATATTTAGGAGATTTGGGATATTTCACAGTAATGTTTAGGATATTCTTAGGGGCCGTACACATAATACGTCACGCGGCTAGGGGGAGGGAGGGGGTCTGAGAATTGTGACTAAGTGTGACATGGGGGAGGGGGGGGTGAACTCATGTGTTACGTCACAATCTTTTAAATTCAAAGATTATAAGAAATTATATGTGACAATGTCACTTTTTCTAAATAAAACAAGTTAAAAATGCTTTAAACTATTTAATATCTATTATGTACCTATTTAACATCTATTGATTTATTATTTATAATATAATATGATAAATAATATATTCTCTTAATTTGAATCAGTTAAAAATCTTGGTTTTAACTGACAATCAGCAGTGACTGACTTTTTGCTTCTGAATCAGTTAAAAAAATAACTGAAAAATTATCCACAAAACACCGAAACTTTTCTAAATATGTATATTAAAGATTTGCTTGCATACTTCAAAAAATTTACTTGCAAAGTTTAGTTAAAATTGTGTAAAGATTTAAATTTTTTACTACAATAAATGTTTATCGTCAAATTTTCTTAAAAATATAGCTTGAAACATTCCTGAACATTTTAATTACATTTTCGACTATAATTTCGTGAATATTTTCAGGAAAGTTTCGCGTTAAACATTTATTGAAGTGGGATATTTAAATCTTTACACAATTTTCACTAAACTTTGCATTTAAATATTTCGAAGCTTGCGAGTAAATCTTTAATAAATTTTTAGGAAAGTTTCGGTGATATGTAGGTAGTTAAACGTGACTAAATGAATCAATCAAAAAAAATTGTATTGAAACATCAGTTATTTTTAACTAATTGTCAGAAAAAAATATTTTTAACTGATTCAATAATTTTGAGTGTAGGATATATAATATATAATGTCAAATGTATAAAATTCACATTAAAATTTACGTGTGTGACGTGACGTTATAGGGGGAGGGGGGGTTCAAGGTTTGTGACGAAGTGTGACATAGGGGGAGGGAGGGGTTAAAAATGGTCAAAAATCGCGTGACGTATTATGTGTACGGCCCCTTATGTAATATTTAGGATTTTTTTGATATTACAAATTAGTGTTTAGGATATTTTGCTGTAATAATATTTAAGATATTTCCATGTAATATTTATAATATTTGGGACATTCCACAATAATATTTAGGATATTCTCATGTAATATTTAGGATGTTTAGGATATTACAAAGTAGTGTTTAGGATATTTCGCTGTAATATTTAAGATATTTCCATGTAATATTTATAATATTTGGGACATTCCACAGTAATATTTAGGATATTCCCATATAACATTTAGGATATTTAGGATATTACAAAGTAGTGTTTAGGATATTTTGCTGTAATATTTAAGATATTTCCATGTAATATTTAGTATATTTGTGACATTCCACAGTAATATTTAGGATATTCCCATATAACATTTAGGATATTCCTATGTAATATTTAGGATATTCCCATGTAATATTTAAGATTTTTAGGATATTCTAAAGTAATATTAAGATATTCCCATGTAATGTTTAAGATATTTTGTTGTAATATTTAGGATATTCTACAGTAATATTTAGGATATTTCGCTGTAATATTTAAGGTATTTCCATGTAATATTTAGGATATTCCTCTATAATATTAAGGATATTCCTCCGTAATATTTATGATATTCCTTTATGTATTATTTAAGATATTTCTAGCAAAATATTTGAATTATTATTATACGATTTTACAAAAATCTAATAAAAAATAAAATTTTCCATTTAAAAATAAGTGAAGAGAAAAAAAATTTTTTTTCTCTTCTAAAATAAATAACCTTACCTTACAGAGAACAAATATTTCGAAACACGCCATTAGTAGCATTGTGACGGCACCGAATGCAACGAGGGGTAGGGCCCATGGATGGGGCCTTATCATGGGCCACAGTCTCGTGACGGTGCCGATTTTCGGTGCCTCTAGTGAAGGTGAACGACCACCTGGACCACCGCGATGATATATGGATATTGTATGATTTGGTGCTGGCACACTGACAACACTTGCAACACTCGCATCGCCACGTTCACGTTCACCACCACCACCACCAATATTAACTGGTACTAAAAAAAATTCTGTCGATAATTCCGGACGATAGCCAGAGAAATATGCCATTTTTTGTCGTTGTTCTTGTTGCACTTGATGATAATGATGACGCTCCTCGAAATGTTCTTGAAAACCTGATGAGGACGTGTGTCCTGATGACCATATAGTCGCTGCCGATATTATAATTGGGCTCAGTCTCATTTTTGTTTCTTTTTTTTTCTAAATTTATTTCGATATAAATTTTTTTTTTCTTCTTTTGGGTTTTTATTTTTTTTCTCTAGAAAATTAACATCTTTTTTTTCTTTTGTTCCACTTTCGTTTTCGGTGTCGCATTCTCCTTAATTGTTGAATCATTTATTTTCAATGTCTGAAAAATAAATTCAAATGTAAAGGTGAGAAATTGAAGGGGAAAAATATTTTTTTACATTACAAATTTTTTAACATCATTAAAAATTATTATTTAGTAATATTTATCAATATTTATTTAAACCAAAAATAATAATAATTATAATTAATGTTAATAGTAATTATTATAATAATATTAATATTAAAAACAACAATAATAATAATTATTAATAAATAGTGATCATCTCTACTCTTAATAATAATTATTGTTATTAAAGGAAAGAAATTTAATAATTATTACCTATTATTATAAGAATTAATAATTATTATTTTATTTAATAATAAATGAAATAATTAATAATTAGCAAAAAATTAATAATTATTGATATATTAATAAAAAAAATAAAACAATGAAAATGTATTTTTTTTTATTAAAAAAAAATACTTGCTACAATGTGCGCGTGCCTGGAACGCGTCAAGTTTACGTGACGATAATAAGCAGTCTATTTACCTGTTTACCCCATTGAAGTTGAGAATAAAAAGTGATTTGACGTTCATAAAAGAAACCACAATAAATTGCCTTTTGATATTATTCCCCCTCCCCCCAATGTTTCATTTGACATTGTTACAATTTTGAGCAAAAAAGATCAAAATAAATTTTTTTTTCATGTTTTTTTAAAAAAAATCCACTAAGAAGATATTCTCTTAGAGAAATAAAATATAATATTCACATCTTGACCAGAAAAGTAGTCAAATAATTAGAAAATATTCCATTGGAATATTTGTAATATCTACAGAAAAAAAAATTAGCAGAAATTTTCCTTTGGAATATTTGTAATATCTGTTAAAAATTGCAATGAGATATTCCTTTAGAAAATTAGTATAATATTTCTTTGTAATTTTTGTAATATTTATTAAAAAAAATTGCAGTAATTTTTCCTTGGAATATTTGTAATATCTGTTAATAATTTCAATGAGATATTCCTTTAGAATATTAGTAGTATTCGCTTGGAATATTTGTAATATCTGTTAAAAATGCAGTGATATTCTTTTAGAAAAATTGTAATATTCTCTTGGAATATTTGTAATATCTGTTAAAAATACAATGATATTCCTTTAGATAAATTGTAATATTCCCTTGGAATCTTTGTAATATCTGCTAAAAATACTATGATATTCCTTTATATAAATTGTAATATTCCCTTGGAATATTTGTAATATCAGTTAAAATTCCTTTAGAAAACTAGTATATAAAAATTCAGTAATATTTCTCTAGAGAAATTGTGATATTGCCTTGGAATATTAGTATTATCTGTTTAAAGTTGCAAGTAATACTATACTTTAGAGAATCTTTTCATAATATTCCCTTGGAATATTCGTAATATCCATTAGAAAATGCGGAGACATTTCATTAGAGAATTTGTAATATTCTCTTGGAATATTTGTAATATCTATAAAAAATTGTAGAAATATTCCATTGGACTATTTTTCTATAGTATATATTTGTAAAGTTTATGAAAATTATTATTGATTTGAATTATTTGTAATATCCACATAAATAATATTTTTACCAAAATATTCCAAGCCTTTATAATATCGGCAAGAAAATTATATACATGAATATTCTATACTGGAATTTTTGAAATGTTAGCGAAAAATAATTGTACAGAATATTCTAACAATATACCACTGGTACTTTTTTAGGGATATTCTATTTGAAATATTTAAAAAATATTCCACTGTCACTTTTCAGTGATACTCCAATCGGAATATTTCAATAATATTCCACTAATACTTTATTAGATATATTCTAAAAGAAATATTCCAAAATATTCCACTGCTACTTTTTTGGAATGTTTTAATCAAAATATTCAATTGGTAATTTTATAAATATTCCACTTGAAATATTCCTTTGGTACTTTTTATGGATATTCTAATTGAAATATTCCAAAAAAAATTCCACTGATACTTTTTTAAGGAATGTTCTAATCGAAATATTCCAGTGGTAATTTTTATAAATATTCCACTTGAAATATTCCTTTGGTACTTTTTAGGGATATTCTAACTGAAATATTCCACTGGTTCTTTTTTAGGAAAGTTCTAATCGAAATATTCCAGTGGTAATTTGTATAAATATTCCAATTGAAATATTTCTTTGGTACTTTTTAAGGGATATTCTAATAGAAATATTCCATTGGAACTTTTTTAGTGATATTATAATAGAAATATTGTAAAAATATTCCAATGATACTTTTTTGAGGGATATTCCAATTGAAATATTTCTCTGACACTTTGCAGGGATACTTCAGTTGGAATATTCCAAGAATATTCCACTAATATTTTATAAGGGATATTATAATTTTAATATTCCAAAGATATTCCACTGGTACTTTATTATTCTAAAAATATTCCAATGTTACATTTTTGAGAGATATTCCCATTGAAATATTTCCCTGCTACTTTTCAGGGATACTCCAATCGGAATATTCCAACAATATTTTACTAATATTTTATTAGGGATATTATAATTTAAATATTCCAAAGATATTCCACTGGTACTTTTTAGGAATAATTCAATAGAAATATTCCAAAGATATTCCAATGGAACTTTTTTTGGGAATACTCCAATCGAAATATTTTAAAAATATTCCAATGGTACTTTCTAGAAATACTTCAACCAAAATATTACAAAGATATTCCACTGGTAATTTTTAAGGATATTCCAATCGAAATGTTACTGATATTTCACTGATAATTTTTATGGATTTCCTTTTCTCGAACAATAAAAAAAAGCTAAAAAAATTTTTTTTCTCCTTTTGTATAAAAAAAGGACAGAAAACATTTCCTGTTAGTTTTGTTAGTTGTTTTTTTTAAATATTATAGAGTTAAATAATAGATTTTTGTATGTTCACCCAGCGAGAAAGGCACATTTTGCAAAAGTAAATAGTCTTGAAGATAAGAATAAGAAAAAGGTTTCCTTTTGGTACTTGTGTATATATATATATACGTAAATAGGTAGTGTCACTGAAAAATCCTTCATCAAGATCTTATATTCTTTTAGAGCAAACGGATTTCCTGGCGAGTGTGATTATGTCTCGAGAATTATCCTGATGGTCAACGAACAGTGAATCTCCCTGGGGAGCGAGACTTTCTCATGTGAATCGTCGCGAGTATCCACCCAAAGATCACTGCGTGTTTATCTATTAAAATTTTTTATATTCTCTCTCTCTCTCTATATATACAATGCAAAATATTTTGTATGTACACTAATTTGTATACAATTTTATCATTCTCTGATCGTCATTCTCTGTGATGAAAATTTCTATCGAATATTTGAAATATTCGGAATATTTAAGAAATTCCTAGGAAATATTTGGAATATTTGGAATATTCTTAGGGAATATTTATAATATTTATACGAAATATATAGAATATTCCAATGGAATGTTTGGAATATTCCATCGTAATATGTATTAAAAATATTCCAATGGAATGTTAAGAATATTCCATATTAAAAATGTTGCATTGGAATATTAGGAAATATTCCAATGGAATATTAAGAAATATTCATACGGAATATTTAACATACTATTATGCAATATATAGAATATTCCGATGAAATAGTTGGAATGTTTAAAATATTCCTATGAAATATTGTAAATATTGTTTGAAATCGTTGAAATATTTCCAATATTAAAATATTCCTACGGAGTGTTTAAAATATTCTTATAAAGTATTTACAGTATTTGTTTATAATATTTTGAATATTTCTTTAGAAAATTAATAATATTTCTATTGGAATTTATAAAGAATGCGACCAATATTCAAATTTGGAGTTTTTAAAATATTTTTTTGGATATCTAGAAAATAATTTGGAATGCCTATATTTAAATTTTTTTTTCGTAAGATTAATCGAACCTAATATTTAAGAAATTTTTAGGGGTATTTTGGAATATTTTGAATATTTTGATGAATTATTTAGAATATATAAAATATTCCTACTAAATATTTAGAATATTTAAAATATTCAAAATTTTTGCACGGAATGTTTAGAATGTTTAAAATATTCCGAAAGAATATTTAGAACATTTTATATATTCTAGGGAATATTTAGAAAATCAAAAATATTCCTACGGAATATTTAGAATAACTGAAATATTCCTACAGAATGTTTAGAATATTCTAATAAAATATTTACAATATTCGTTTTGGAATGTTTCGAATATTCCTTTGGAATATTTATTCTCCGATAGTCAATTTTCATAAGAGAGTTCTACATTTATTATTCGAAATATTCAAGAAATTTGTAGGGAATATTTGGAATATTTAGAATATTCGGATGAAATATTTGGAATGTTTAAAATATTCCAACGGAATATTTAGAATATTTAAAATATTCGTTGAAATCGTGGAATATTTCCAATATTAAAATATTCCTACGAAGTGTTTAAAATACTTTTATAAAGTATTTACAATATTTGTTTATAATATTTTGAATACTTCTTTGGAAAATTTATAATATTTTTATTGGAATATTTTGTACGAATTTAGATAGAAGGTGTGCAATATTTCACGTGGAGTATTTAAAATATTTAGAATATTCCGATGAAATATTTAGAATGTATAAAATATCCCTACTGAATATTTAGAATATTTAAAATATTCCTGCAGAATGTTTATAGAATATTCTCACAAAATATTTACAATATTCGTTTTTGGAATATTTCGAATATTCCTTTAGAATATTTATTCTCCGATCGTTATTTTTCATAAGATTATTCGAATTATTTTAGAAATTGGTGGGGAATATTTGGAATATTTAGAATATTCCGATAAAATAATTGAAATCTTTAGAATATTCCTACGGAATATTTAGAATACTTCTTTGAAATATTCTCAATATTAAAAATATTTGCTACGGAGTGTTTCAAATTTTCTTATAAAGTATTTACTGTACTTTTTCACAATGTTGTGAATATTGCTTTAGAATATTTATAATTTTTCTATTGGAATATTTGTAATATTCCTTTGAAATATCAGTTAAATTTCTTTGTATTATTTACAATATTTTATATGGATTATTCATTCCATTGAAATATGTAGAATATTTCTACTGGAATATTTAACGTTTATCTTATTAAAATATTTTGAATATTTCTTTGGAATGTTCAGTATATTCCATTGGAATGTTTAGAATATTCTCATAGAAATATTTAGAATATTTCCATAGGAATGTACAGAATTACATGGAATATTTTTAAATAGTCCATGTAAAGTAGTACGCAGCATACTCCTTTGGAATATTTATAATATCGCTTTGGAATATCGAGAAAATGCCTTTGGAATATTTAGAATATTTATATGGAATATCGAGTAAATTTCCATGCAATATTTAGAATAATCTTTTGGAATATTTAGAATACGCAGTTGTTGTATTTATAATATTCCCTTTGGAATATCAATTTAATTCCTTTTTTATATTTTTTATAATATTCATTTTGAAAAATAAAAATATTATTTGATGGAATATTTCGAATTTTTGTGTGGAATATTTTTTTTTAGAAAATCAGTAGAATATTATTGGAATATTTATTGAATATTCATGGAATATTATTTTTTAGAATATCAATGGAATATTTGTGGAATATTTTAAAAAGAAAATCAATAGAATATTCTTGGAATATTTATTGAATATTCATAGAATATTACTTTTTTAGAATACCCGTAGAATATTCTTGGAATATCAATAGAATATTCTTGAAGTATTTGTGAAATATTCATGGAATATTAATTTTTTTAGAATATCAATAGAATATTCTTGGAATATTTATTCAATATTTTTGAAGTATTTGTGGAATATTCATGGAATATTCTTCAATTCTTTGTAAAATATTCATGAAATATTCTTGAAATATTTACGAAAAATTCTCGGAATATTCGTGTAATATTTATGAAATATTCTTGGAATATTTATGGAATATTCAATTAATATCTTTCTTCATAAATTTACCTTGACAGAATTTTATGTTAATTTATAAAAAAATATATTTTAAGAATATTCCATGGAATGTCAAAATTTTTTTATTAATATTATAAATTGTAATATCCTCGTAATATCAAAATAAAAAGATAAAAAAAATTACAAAATTATACAAATAGAATTTAAACAAAAAAGAAAAATTTTAACATACCATTTATTTAGAATAAAGAAATAAATTTCCACACACAAACACGTTCACATTTTTTAATTTCAATTCAATTTTATTTATTTCGTTCATAAAATCACTTTAAAAGGAGAATTATATATTTTGAAAAGAGAAAAAAGAGAAAAATAGTTGTAATCGAACTACTAGCCCCGTGAAAGTAATAATTAAAGGGGCTCCCACACGGTTTATAAAGAAAACGTTTTGAAAGCAACGGTTTGCAGTAAACTGAAGACCAGTCTTCTTGTGCAGAACCCAAGAAGCAAAGGCCCCCTGAAGAACAAGACACATACATAGAGAGAGAAAAAGAGAGAAGGTGGGAGTGACGTCAAAAGGGGAAAAGCTGTTACGGAGGAGGGACTTACAAGAGTGGACCATCGAGAGGACCATCAGTTAACACAGGGACGGTTCAGCTTCTCCAAAAAAAATAGAAAGAAAGAAAGAAAAGAAAAACGAAAAAAACCACAAGGCCCTTCATTTGAAAAAAAAGATAAGAAACAAAATTAATTTTTCAACAGAATGTAATTTTTGATATTTAAAATTTTTTTAAAAAATATTTTCCAAAAAATATTTAAAAATAAATTAATAATATTTCCCATTATTTTTTAATATTAAAAGAAATATCTTTTAATATTAAAAAATGAGGGGAAATATTACAAACGTTTCATGCGGATATTTTGATAATATCCAAAGATATTCCAATCGTATACATGTATTATTTGGTAATATCCGAAGATATTACTATCATATTAATACATACTTTTGTAATATCCAAAGATATTTCAATAGCATCTATAAATAATTAAGTAATATCAGAAAATATTACAATCATATTTATGGATATTTTAGAAATATCCTCAGATATTTCAGTAGGTAAATGATTAAATATAAAAAATAAATGAATAATTTGGTAGTATCAAAAGATATTACCATCGTATTAATAGATATTTTGATAATATCAAGAGATATTCCAATAGTATTCATATATCATTTTGATAATATCCGAAGATATCTCAATAGTATTGAAGCAAATTTTTTCTATATCAATATCGATAAATATTCTAATAGTTTCCATAAATAAATTAGTAATATCAAAATATAAAACAATATTATTTGTGGATATTTCGGTAATATCGACAGAAATTCCTGTAGTATCCAATAAATAATTTGTCAAAAATAAAATATCACAAACATGCATATTTTGAAAATATATTCAAAGATATTCCAATCGTATTTATAGATATTTGAAAAATATTGAATATTTTATAATAATGTCGAAGGTTACGTCGTTAATATCTAAATATATACCTACACTATTAAAAATAAGTTAATATCTATATATAAATATTACTAACGAAGTTATGGATATTTTTGTAATATCCAAAGATATTTCACTTATATCTATAGATATTACACAAATATTCAGAAATATAATATCTATAGATATTACAATAGTATTGATAGATAATCTTGTAATATCCATAAATATTTTGTTAATATGCAAAGATATTCCAACAATATTCTCAAGTAATTCAATATCTATAGATATTACAAACGAATTTATAGATATTTTGGTAATATTTACAAATATTCCAATCACACTTATAGTTATTCTGGTAATATTTTTGTAATATCCAAAGATATTTCACTTATATCTAAAGATATTACACAAATATTCAGAAATATTATAATATCTATAAATATTACAAAAGTATTTATAGATAATTTTTTAGTATTTATAAATATTTTATTAATATTCAGAGATATTCCAACAATATTCACAAACAATTTAATATCTATAGATATTACAAACGTATTTCTAGATATTTTGGTAATATCTAGGAATATTACATAAATATATTAGTGAATACGTACTTTAATAATGTCTATGGATATTCCTAAATATATTCCTAGAATACTTTTAAATATCTAAATATAATCTCAGAATACTTTTTAATATGTTAACATATCCCTAGAATACTTTTTAACATCTAAAAATATTCCTGGAATACTTTTCAAATATCTACATATAACCTGGGAATACTTGTTAATATCTGAAGATATTCCGAGAATACTTTTAATGCGTAAAAAAGCTACTTGTAATGTCTAAAGACATTCTTACAATACTTTTTTATACCTAAAGATATTCTTAGAATACTTTTTTATATATAAAGATATTTTTAGAATACTTTTTTATATATAAAGATATTTTTAGAATACTTTTTTTATCGAAAGATATTCCTTGAATACTTTTTAATATCTAAACATATCTCTAGAATACTTTTAATATCTAAATCTATTCCTTGAATATTTTTCAAATATCTACATACATCTGGGGAATACTTTTAATATCTGAAGATATTCCGAGAATACTTTTCATGCGTAAATAAACTACTTCTAATACCTAAAGATATCCACAGAAAGCTTTGTAATGTCGAAAGACATTCATGGAATACTTTTTTATATCTAATTATATTCTTGGAAATTTTTTTTATCTAAAGATATTCTTAGAATACCTTTTTATATCTAAAGATATTCTTAGAATACTTTTTTATATCTAAAGATACTCATGGAATACTTTTTATATCTTAAGATATTCCTAGAATATTTTTTTATTTATTAAGATATTCCTGGAATACGATTCTGATGACTAAAGGTATTTCGAGAATACTTTTAATATCGAAGGATATTTCGAATATATTTTCCAATTATCTTAAGATATTCCTAGAATATTTTTCTATTAACTGACAAAATATTTCCAGAATGTTTTTTTAATTTCTAAAAGTATTCCGAAAATATTTTTCTAATATCTTAACTTATTGCGACAACTGTTGATAATATCTGAAGATATTACTTCAAATTTTTTCTAATTTCTAAGAATTTCTCTAATAGTAGATATTCCATTATTAATATTTAGAAATATATTAAGGAATATCTAATCTCTATTATCCGTTATTACAGGAATATTACTGTAAATATACAAAATAGTACATTAATATCTGTAATATCTTCCATTTAAGAGAATTTATAAAGTATTCTTTTAATATCTAATATCAATAATAGACATTCTATGGAAATTTTTGCCGAACTGATGACATTTTCAATACGTAAAGTTAAAGATACTAAATTGTATTTATAAAATTTCGAAAGAGTATTTGTATGTATTCCGAGTAATATCTGAGTAATATCCGATACTAAAAAAATAGCGAAGATATTAGTAATTTCAAAAAAATATTTTAATAGTCATATTTTAATATCTAGAAATATTCCATTTAAAGTCCTAACTCTTACAGTTCCTTTACGATATTACTGTGATATTACATTTCCCTTTGTTTTATTTGGTAATATCTGAGAGTAGTAAAAATATTCCTGACTTGAAATTTCCAATTTTTTTTTTAAGTATTTCCTGATTTTTTTTTTTTGTTAAATAGAGTATTATTTAAGTATATGTTTATATATTGGAAAGGATATTTATTGTATAAACATTATAGGTTCGATACTTGGTAGGTTGACTTTTCGTATACGACCATTGTTCACATTTTTTTTTCGGGTTTATTGTACCACATACATACGTCTCGTTATGTAAATGCGTTGCCGGGTCCGGTCTTCGGCGCACCTTCCCGCAGCCTCCTGCCCCCTTATAACAGAGCCGGCTGCAGAATTTTCAGTGCCTAAGACAAGAATCTCTCAAAGAGTTTTCAAACTAAAATTCAAAATCATCATCAACATAATAACAAAAAACACGTTTTTATTATAACCTCTTTATTATTATGTAAAGAAATCATTCCTTGTCACATTCCATTGGAAAATACTATTATTTCTTTTTTTTTAAGTATTTTTAATTCGTTTTGGAATATTTTTATTAAATTTTTTCGAAATATTCCAAATAATATTTTTTCAAAACATTCCAAATAATATTTTTTCGAAACATTCCAAATAATATTTGTTTGAAATATATCAATTTTTATTGCCTCAAAATATTCCAGTAAATGTTCCATTGGAATATTCCATATAGGAAAAATTCCGTTGGAATATTCTAGTAACATGACGTTTGGAATATTCAAGTTAAAATTCTTTTGAAATATTCCAGCTAAAGTACATTTGAAACAAGCAACATTAGAATATTCCTGTAAAAATTCCGTTGGAATATTTTAGTGACAAGACAATTGGAATATTCTTGTAAAAGATCGGTTGGAATATTCTAATAACAAGTTCTCTGGAATATTTCAGTAAAATATTTTAGTCTTGGAATATTCTAGAGTCAAGTACTTTGGAATATTTCAAAGGACTCGTTATTAAAATATTCCAAGAGAATTTTCACAAGAATATTCCAATGTTGCTTGTTTCAAAATGAATTTTAATTGGAATATTTCAAAAGAATGTTAACTGGAATATTCCAAACTTGTTATTAAAATATATTGACAGTTAAAATTCATTTTGAAACAAGCAACATTGGAATATTCCTGTGACAGTTTCGTTGGAATATTCAAATAACAAGTTCTTTGGAATATTCCAGTCTTAGAATATTCTAAGAACAAGTACTTTAGAACATTCCAGTTTTAGAATATTCTAGGAACCAGAACTTTCAAATATTTCAGTCTGGGAATATTCTATGAACAAGTACTTTGGAATATGCTAGGGGTCATTCACAAACTACGTCACGCTTTTTCGGACTAATTTTGACCCCCTCCCCCCTCCTTTCGTCACATTTTTTACATACAAAAAAAATTTTTTGTCCACACTTCGTCACACACAGCTTGACACCCCCCCCCCACCCCTAGGAGTGTGACGTAATTTGTGAACGGCCCTCTACTAAAAATTCCTCTGGAATATTCTGTAGAAAAATTAAAATATTGAAATATTTCGATTAATAATAATTTTAACAAATTCCACTGAAATATATAGATATTTTTTAAAATAATTATTCCTGAAGAATGTTGATATTTACTAAAAATGAAAATTCGTGGAATATTTCGATTTTAATTTAAAAAAATATTCCTGAAATATTTCGCTATTACTTTTTAAGTAACATTATTTGAATATTGCAATATTAATTTTACTAAAAATATTCCTGGAATATTTTCAATACTCTTTTAAGTAAATATTTATGGAATATTTCTAATATTCTTTTGACTAATTATTCGTGGAATATTTTCACATTTTTTTTATAAATATTTTTGGAAAATTTAATATTTTTTGAATAAATATTCCTGGAATATTTACTTTTTTGTGAATAAAGATTCCTGGAATATTATCAGCATTCTTCTCAACA